AAGACGTGTCAGTTTCGTGTGCTGGCCTGGCCTGGCCTGGGGCATGTGCCTGGAGGGACGTGGGCGTGTGGGCGTGTGGGCGTGTGGGCGTGAGGGCGTGAGACTTTCCAGCCAGAACAAGGGCAAAAGCAGCGCAGCGCAGCGCACGCGTCCCGACTCCCCCAGGTCCTAATTAGTGACTAGTTAGTCAATGCCGAGGACGTGGAACGCGGGCGCGGCCAGACACGAGAGACAGCCGACGCGGAAAAAAAAAAATTGGTGAGTGAGAGAGTTGGGGGGGAACCCGGTCGCGCTCGGCAGGGCTCGTGCGCTCGCCTGTCAAAGCTGTTCCCCCTCAACCCTCAAGGGAGGGGAGGGCTGTCTTGCACCCAGCTGCCATCCATGGATGCTGCTGGCTGCAAGCCGTTGAGCAAGAACTCCACTGCCTAGGTGAGCACTGCTATGTACCTTGACTACCTATAGGCGCTATCTGATGGCCCTGGCCTTAACAATGGGGCCACGGTCGAGTACCCCATCCAGAGCCAGGGGGGCACGGAGGTACATGCTGTAGGATAGCCTAGAAGAGTGGCATGTGAGCCCGCGTCCAGTGCCCAGGTGGTAAGGGCTTGCATAAAATGGCACAACTTCCGGCTGCGTCGGTCAAGTCGGTCGAGCAGCCCTTCACCTTGCCTGCTCCCTTTGCTCACCGAGGGCACCCCTGCCACCCTGTGCCGGGCCTCACCTTGGCTCTCACCTCGCGCCCACTCTGCTCACCTTGGCTTACCTTCACGTTGACCTTACCAAGACCCCGAGCAGCGAGCGCGCCTTGGGCACACACCCCTGTCGCTAGGTAGGTACCTTAGTCAGGACGGACGGGCACAGGGGGGAAGCGGACAGCTCTGGAAACTTTGGAGACGAGCGAAACGAGCAAGACGAGCTTCGACAGGCAAAACATTAAAAAAAATTAAAATTTTCAACCTGCCTACCTACCTTCCTACCTAGATATATTCTATAGATTGTATCATTCGTCCCGTCTGGCTACTGCCCCTCCCTCTGAAGCTCCAGCAGCGCAAAGCACCCTCATTCATGGTCTGCTGCGAGGGATTGGATCCAAGCCGTGACTGAATGATACGTACGGCCTCCCGCTGTCCAAGCTTGTCCCCGAAACTCCCTCCACCATGCCTCTGCGCATCCCCCATCCCGATGCGCCTCTCCACCTGTACCGACACATCCTCCGGGAGGCTTCCTACCTGCCGCCCCTGGCCCGCCCCTGGGCCGTCGACCGCATCAAGGCCCGCTTCCGCGACTGCCGCCACGCCCGACACCCAGATCGCCATGTGCGCCACGCCCACCACCACCTGCGCTTCCTCCGCGCCGCCAACGCTGGCCACGTCGACCGCATGCTGCGCATCTGCTACATGGCCACGGGGAGGCTGGGCAAGCGCCGCCGCCTGCTGGCTGACGCCTATCTGACCACCGCCCCGCCCCCGGACTCGCCCGCCCTCGCCCTCGCAACCCCCCAGAGCCCCGGGAAGAGGCCCGGCGGGGACCGCCTGCTCCATCCCACTTGGCTCGACAGCTGGGATCTGCCCAAGATCAAGGCCCTGGCCAAGTCTCAGTACGACCAGCAGAGCAACGCCACACTGCCCAAGGAGGTTCGCCGCACCTTGAACGTCTCCCCCACCCAGAACTGCTGGGGTCTGCCCGTCGGGCCCCGGGGCCTCACCAACAAGACAAAGAAGCTCTACGCCTCCGTCTTTGCCTCCCTCCTGCCCCCCGTCCCCCGGGGAGAATGGCAGGCCCTGCAGTCCCTCGCCCTGGGCGAAGCCGACGATGCCTCTTGGCAGATCCCATCCCGGAGGCCGGTTGCCGCGAGCACCACCACCACCACCGCTAACACCGCTACCGGTACAGCCCACGTGGATCGGCCCTGGGACTGGGAAAAGTACGCAACCACGCCCATACGCGTCCTCGAGAGGCCCAACGCGCGCAGGAGAAAGGCGCTCTCGGGCAGCCTGGACCAGGATCCGCGCGGCCAAGGTGCCCCCATCGGCCTGCGCGCATATAAGCCAAGGTCGCTCCGCCGCAACCTCTACGGTCGCATCTGGGCCGCCTCGCCCCTCGTCACGACCAAGAACACCTCGTGGGACATCACCTGGGGCGGAGCAAATCCCAAGGTCTCCAAGCCGGCCTCTCGCGATATGCAGTTCTTCCGCGGCGTCGACACCAAGGGAAGCATCATGCCCTCGAGCCCCGGCCACGGTTTGAACGTCTCGCAGGTCTGAGGCACTGTGTTCCATCACAATTCTTCTGGTCTAGTCTGGCCTGGTCTGATCTGGTATGGTATGGTATATTCTAGTCTAGCAGCCTGGCCAGCTTCGTCAGGCCGTCGCGGTCGACGCGCATCCCCACCCACTCGTTCATGGCCGTCGCCCCTATCGATTCATAGAACCTGATGCTGGGCTCGTTCCACTTCAACACCGACCACTCGAGCCTGCCGCCGTCCATCGACACCACCTCCTTGGCCAGCTCGACCAGCAGCTTCTTGCCGTAGCCCTTCTTGCGCTCGCTCGGCCTCACAAACAGGTCCTCGAGGTAGATGCCCGGCTTCGCCCGCCACGTGCTGTAGTTGTAGAAATACAACGCCATGCCACATGGTGCGCCCGACTCGTTGAAGAGGAGGAGGCAGCGGGCCGGTCTCTCGGGGGACGTCGGTTCCGTGTTGCGTGCGGTCGACGTGGACTCTACGCCATCCGGTGCAAAGGCAATAGTAGCCAGGAGTTTGCTGTCGGTCGCTTCGACGGCGTCGAGCTCGTGCTCATAGTCGGCGAGTTCGCGAACAAGCTCAATGATGGTTGGGACATCTGTGTTGCGTCAGGAGAGCTCATTGGGGCCGGGTTGGGGTCGGGCTGGGGTCGGGCTGGGGCTCGAGCTACCTTCTCGACGTGCATGTCGGACGGTGCAAGCCGCTGGTGCCATTTTCGGACCGTTGTCACCGGACAGGGGATCGGGAGGTTCTGGGGAAACAGGCAGGAATGCAGCGAGCAGAAAGCCACCCAGCCAGCCGTGTTATACTCGAGGCGTCGGTGGGTATGCGGGCGCCCTTCTGTCAATTGACCTTCCTATGGCGGGGTCATCAGTGGCAGAATGACATACAGACTTGGCGGCCAGCCAACGGGAGGAGCTGTTGTGGAGAGCCCTGACTAACCCTCTGATAAAGTCACGTTTTTCGCGCCAGGCGTTACCGCATGGGCTACTAACCATGGCTGCACGTCCAGGAACAGTACCAAGGAACGCTACCAAGGAACGCAAGTCCTTATTTATGCAGGTTGTAAATGAATTAATTGACTGCCCAAAACTATCACGGACTCTAGGGGTGTGTCATTTATAGTGGCGCCGACTCTCTAACATCGAGAAAGAACCCAAGCCTCGACTACGCTCCACCAGTTTTTCCCCCCTCCTCCGCAGTGTGCTCTTAGATATAACGTACCTGTTAACGGATTCTACGCCTGTCGCGCGATAGTCAGTTGCGTGCATTTGAGTCTGAAACCTTACGGCGCTAGGTATGATGGATTCTAGTTCTGTGTTGGGGCGATAACTCGTATTATATTATTCCCAGAGTCGTAGTATGGCATGAGAGGAGGTATACAAAGCAACCATTGGGAGTCTTAACTCCACAGCTACTTGATGCAGGTCGGCATGGGGAAGGGTTGCGTGGATTGACGTCGCCATTCTGACTGGCTCTTGCGCCATCGCATAATCAAGAAGTATCCCCAGAGCCATATCACCATCCATGTTCGCCTGACGGCAACCGCGTACCTTGCTCTACAAGATTTTGTCATTCACAGGGGCACTCCCACGTCTTCCCATATGGGGAGTTCTTCCAACGTACGGGTTGCCATCATTGGCGCGGGCATCGCCGGCCTCGCTGCCGCCATTGCGCTCAAGGACAACCCCTCCATCGAGGTGCAGGTATACGAGCGGGCTCCTGAACTCAGAGAAATAGGGGCGTCAATAGCGCTCGGGCCCAATGGTATGAGGACCCTCGACAGACTGCGCGTCTATAACGCTCTGCACGACTCGGTGGCATTCCGCAACAAGTCCGGGCTGCCCATGATATATCGGTCCGCTGAATCATTCATGGTTCCAATACGGTAGGCTAACGACAGTCACAGTCACTACAAGACCAATGAGGTAGTCTCTGTCGACAAGCACAAAGGTGCCGTCTCCCAACGACACCAGACCGCTCGCTACTATAGGGTTCACCTCCAAGCTGCCCTTGCCGAGCACATCCCAGCAACCCAGATTCACTTCTCCAAGGCGTTCCAATCCGTCTCCTTTGACGCTGGAACCCAGAGCCTCCGGATCCGCTTCGCCGACGGCTCAACGGCCGAGGCGGATGTCCTCCTAGGTGCCGACGGCATCCACTCGGCCGTGCGGCGGCACTTCGTGCCGTCCTCGCAGACCCGATGGACGGGCTGGACTACCTTTCGCTCCGTCTTCCCCGTGGATCCACACCTGGCACACATCGCGGACCTCCCGGACGAGGCCGTGCACATTTGGGGCCCCGACCGCACCCTGTTCCTCAGCCACCTCGGCCGCGGGCTCTTCACCGTCGTCGGCTCCACGCAATCGGACCCCCAGGCGCCCAGTGCCCCGTACCAGGACGCAACGTGGAACGAGGAGGGCGATGTAGCGGTGTTGAGAGGGTTTTATAAGGAGTGGAGCCCCCTCGTGAGACAGATCGTAGATGCGGTGCCATTTACGAGGGTCTACCCGAATGCGACGGCGCATGCGCTGGACTCGTGGGCCTTAGGTGGAGGGCAGGCCGACGACAGAGACGAAGGCTCTGGATCAGGTGCGAGAACGAGCAGTGGGAAGAGGGTCACGTTGGCTGGAGATGCGGCACACGCACACGGCGGGGCCTTTGCGGCCGGCGGAAGTCTAGCACTGGATGACGCGTGGGCATTCGCGATGGCCATCAAGCACGCCTTCCCTGCGCACCAACTGCAAGCGAGAGACCGGGGATCCGTGGGGGAGAACATCGAGAGAGCTTTGCGGCTATACGAGCGGACGAGGAAGGGACATACGGACCGTGTTATGCGCGTCGTGGCTCAGAACAACGCCAAGACCGTCGACAGGCACAGGGAGGCGGGTGGCGGGTGGCGCGAGACGGACGACGAGCTGAGGGTTAGGATGCAGAATCGAGCAGACACCAGCTGGATCCATGAGCATGATGTCGTGGAGGCCTTTGCGGAGGCGCTGGCGGACGAGGATCCCTCACAGGGAGAACTGCAAGCGCAGCTATGACTCCTTTGGGTTGGTCAGAAGTTTTGAGGTCCAGTACATGCCTTTTGGGACCCATAAGCTGTTTCTTTTGCATTTTTGATGAGAATAGTAGATTGTGGCTTGAGTTTCCTCAGCCAATCACGATACAAGCCCACAGAGTCATGAACGAGACATGACGTGCCTTTCCAGCCAATCCGAATATCATTTGGGAGCCAGCCGAAATACATCGATACTGCTGTCATTGACTTTCCCTTCTTCAGCTACGTATCTAGGCGTGTATGTGGAAGACCGTACATAGCGACCAACGGAACTACAAACATGTAGTGCTATCTGGCACAGCTGAGACGGAGACATTTCAACTCACAAAGACATGGATCCATAACGGTAGCACAACTTTGTGCCAGTAGTGAGCCCTGCCTGTCTCAGCAAAAGACACATAATTTTAAAATTCACTACCTAAGTAAATAGGCACTCCGGATCATGTCGCCCTCTACTCACTACCACTTCTGGCAAGCCCCACTCCCTGGGTACGATCGCCAGTAGTGCGCCGGTACTCACCAATGAGAGACTCAATGTCTTGCACGTTGCGACTAGGCAGTATTGAAGATCACCATCTGCGGTCGATAGAAGCACCCATCAGCTTCAAGCTCTATTCACCAAGAGTGGACATGGCACTGCTACAGCAGCCTAGCGGTGCCAAGTTGCGCAGTTGGCCCCGGTTCTTAGTTACTCGCTACTAGTTGGCATGTAGCTTTTGATCACAAGGACAAAAGCATAGCTTGAAATAAGGCGCAAGATCGGAACCATTTCCTGCTTTCCTATTCTCTGGCTGTAAGGCTTCTAAGAATTTGACTATCAGAGCCAGAGTCCAGTGCTGCACAGCAAGGATCCGCGTCATGTGGTCTAGAGGCATGTCTGCCGTTGGCGGCAGTCTATATCTAGCCTCGCTGGCTGTTGCATCATTTGATGGCAACCTGAACTACAACAGTCCATCCCGACGCCACAGCAATCTCGGCATTGATGTCACTCTCGTCAACCGTCGTAGTTTCAAGCGAGGGGCTATCCCCTGGTCGCCGGAGCAGCTCAACTTCACACATGGTGTGGCCTCGGGTGACCCATACCCGGACAGCGTCGTTCTATGGACCCGTGTCGCGCCAGGTATGGAGTCCGACACCAGCAATGTCACGGTGGAAGGCACCGCACCGCTATACAACACCGACAGGGACCCGTACATCGAGGCTGACCCCAACCCCGTCTGTGTGGAATGGAAGGTCTTCGAGACACAGGCATCTACATCGAGTACATGCTCGTGGTCATGGCCTTTCTGTCTCGTGAACCCTGACTGCAGCTCATGCTGCAAGCCATTTTCTACTTGTTCTGCTACTGCGACCAATGCGCATGGGCGGGTGGTTTCGAGTGGGACGGCGTACACCACGAGCGACATTGACTACACTGTTAAGGCAAGCCAAGTTGATGAAACATCAATGGTTAAATGTACAAGCTGGTATTAACTGTATATCATAGATCGAAGCTACTAGTCTGCAACCATTTACGACCTACAACTACCAATTCACAATATGCGGCTCTGATAGAGTGAGTCCTTTGGGACGCACGAAGACAGCTCCTAGAGCTGAAGACGACTTGGCTCAGGTCAAATTCGCCATCTTCTCCTGTTCTAATTTCCGTAAGTCAAAACTCTGAAAGGTGGTGGCTCGGAACTACTTACCAATTTTCACAGCATTGGGGTATTTCAATGCATACGGAAATGCGGCTCGCAAAGATGAACATGATTACGTGGTTTGTATCACCTTAGATGAGCTCGAGTCGATGTAGAATGATTGGTGCTAAGGCGCGGACAGATCCACCTTGGGGACTACATTTATGAATCTGCAGGCGCTGGCCAACGGGCGCACAAGCCGGAGAAATATGTCTTCAGCTTGCCTGAGTACAGAACCCGTCACGGTCAAGTAGGAGCTCTCTCGCCGTAACCCTAGATCTCTCTGAAACTGACGTGGACTCGAATAGTACCGCACCGACCCGGATCTGCTCCTAAACGCGCAGAATTTTGCCTGGATTCCAACCTGGGACGACCACGGTACGCCAGCACTTACTTATCTCGAATTTTTCTAATGGGGGAATTGTAGAGGTGGCGAACAATGTGTACCGAGATGGAATGAGTGCTCTGTTCAACACAGAGAACTCTTTCCTCAAGAATGGAGCTTCAATCAGCGTAGATCAACGCAAGATGAACGCCGTGCGAGCGTACTGGGAATGGATGCCGATTCGGTATTTTCTAAATTCATCCAGATATGGTGTTCCACAGGTCACTGACACTTCTGTAGACAAGTCGACCTGGACGATAACCTGCGCATTTGGCGATCTTTCCAGATGGGTAAGCTGCTAGATCTCATTATGCTGGACACGCGAAATTATGACAGAAGCATCACGGACTTGGGTAGGCTCGAAATGTACCCAACATAGGAGAGTTTAAAGAGGTACTAACACTCATTGGCAGGTAACACTTTCACCGAATACATCGACCTTATCAAGGATGATGGTGGGAGGTCCCTAATGGGCTCCCACCAGGAGCACTGGTTCTACCGACAATTATCTGAGTCGGCCAAGCGAGGCGCAACATGGCGCATCATTGGGAACCAGGTCATATTTTCAAGACTGGAGTTCTCGCAAGGGCTCGGTCTTGATACCTGGAGTGTACGCATTCAGCTGTCCCGGAATTATAGGACTAGTCCTGACATTTATCATTTAGGGCTATGCCTCCAATCGCAACCGGACACTGAAACACCTCTACGACAATAACATCCACAACAATATCTTCCTCGCGGGTGATAGTCATCAGAGCTGGGTTGGTTACTCTGAGTGCCCCTATTTTGGTTCCTAGTTGCCTCGATCTAACAGAAGCTCAGGTATCGGATCTTGCGTGGCGAGGCGATAAGCCGTACGACGAGAACACAGGCCTGGGCGCAATCGGCGTCGAGTTCGCAGGCACGGCCGTCACGTCGCCAGGGGGGGAGGTCGGAAGTATAGCAACGCTCGAGGCGCAATCGCAAGTCGACGTCGATGCCAACCCAGAACTACAGTGGGCGGAGGGTTATTACCGGGGATACTTCATCCTCACGGTCACGCCCGCGGAAGTCAATGCTCAATTCTATGGTACGTAACTCTGATAGATTCGTGGCTTTGGTAGTCCTGTTTCTGGAGCCCAACGATACTTGCGCTGATGACTCCGCGCAGGATCACCCAGCGTCGCAACACGGAATCCTTGGGACCTGTCATTGGCCAACTTTACAGTTGTAGTAAATGATAATCATCTGGCGCGGCCAGTCGCAGGGGGGTCGGTTGAGGCTGGTCATGTACAGGGCGGCGAGGTCAATCCTACGAATGTTACACTGAATACCGAAACAGGCGAGTGGGATATTGTTGGATACGAGACCATGTATCTTAGCATCAAGTAAGAGTGAGCGACGGATGGGCCATCACATATGTTACGGTTCTATACTAGGTTGTAGTCATGTATACATGATCAACATGATCAATAGTATAGATATAAGTCGGTGCGTCGAGTGGCCGAGCCGCAAGTTTTGAATCTATACAAGTGAATATAAGCAACTATGAGAATCGACCAAGTTTTAGTAGAAAAAAATTTACAGCATATCTTGATAGAACTCGATAGTCGTTATCACTAAAACTGAGGGGAAGGCGGGCTTGGCCTGCTCGGTTTCAACCTAAGTCTCACTATTGAGTTTCTCGAAACCCTTCCTCCACATCTCCACGTCAGGACCAAACACTGGGTTCCCACGACCTAGGATGGAAGTGCTCATCTTGTACGGGGAAGGAATATTAGTCAGGTCTAACCCCTTCACGTCATTCAACCTCTTCCTAGTGTCCCAGTGGAACTGGAACATTGCCTTGTTCACATGGTTGAACCCGGCGCTCAGGTTCATGATAAGGTCCATAAAGTCTGTGAAAACCTTGACGTGCTCGATAAGAATGCACGCGCCGTTGATATGCATGATCATCACTGTCCCCGGATTGGCCTGGAACTTGATGTTCGAGAGGCATCTGTTAGGAGGTACGGCGCGAAGGATAGGTTCACCTTCGGAATCTACGGCGGAATCGTAGTACAATGCTGCAAGCACCCGCGCTTCGGGATTTTCGAGTAACTTTTGGTCGAAGATTGTGTTATGGTGAGCCCGGAACAGCTCATTCGTCGAGGCAGTCATACGACAAATCCAAGGAAGCCCAACCATGAAGGCTAGAGGTGAAGGCCATTGGTACTCTCTCCGATAGACAGCTGATCTCACATTGACTTCGTTGTATTTCCCCAGTTCAAAGGCGTAACAATCTGTTAAACTGTTGATTTTGATTGCAGGTAGCATGTCGACTGAAGTTCGCCCGGTATCGCTGATGCATGGATTGAGAGGATGGTTCAGGAACCAGTCGACGACATGGAGGTAGTCTTTCATCTCAACGTCTATGAAAGTGGCCTTGAACCCAACTTCAGATTCGTCCGTCTCGAATTTGTATGCGAGCACATATATCTTGAACGCCCATGGGTACATGTACCCCGGCTTCCCCAAGCTTGTCAAACTGGTGTTCGTAACACGTCCGCGGCCATTCACGGGATCGCCGTCGGGTCCCGCAAACCAGTGTGGTGCGAAAGCCATCAAAGAACGGCCAGTATTCTCTGCTACCTCATCGAGGAATTGCAGAGACTGTCTGAATTGCGGGCTGTGCGGATCCGAGAGCCATTCAGGAACCCCAGGAAGCTGAATCGCCCCGGGTTCCGAACAGTGCAGCTAGCACCAGGTAGGATCTTGCTGCCCGCCTGGTACGGGGTCCCGAAAGACCTGATCTTCGGCAGGATATGGGAACAAGAGGCCACGAACGTGGCGTGTCGAGGGGCGGCTGTTCTCGGAGAAGCTGTTGAGCTGACTGCAGAGGGCTTTGTGGCAGGGCCAGTCCTCCTTCTGGCAAATGCGAGAGCAGTAAAACGTTCCGCATCTTTGGCACTTCGATCCTGTTGGCATCTCACACATGCAACACAGAGTCGTCGACGGAGGCTCTGCCACGCTTGCGGAAACTCGCTCCCACGCCTGCCTGGACAGCGAAACCCCGAATGTTACGGATGCTTCATAATAAGGATCCATGCCTGGATTTTCTATTTTCTTCTGGATGTCAATTATGTCGAAATCGAGTGCAGCTGGATTTAAAGCGATGCGGCGAGGGTGGATTGACAGGTGATGTCGCGGATTCAAGTAGCTCAAGGAGAGCTTCCTAGGAGCATCTTGGTGTCATGAAGGAAAGTCAACACAAGGAAACTGGTATGACGGAGTGCCTAGCCCCTGCCTCTTAAAATTGTTACTACATACAGGTACATACCTAGGTAGTGTAGAGACAATGCGTGATGAGGAAATTACGACTGGACTATGTTGGCTCATTTGTTGGCTGCCATTTACCGGACAGTCAGAACTTGACCCGAGGTTGTCAGGTGGGCCTGACACCGGATCGGGATCAATTATACTGAGCGTTGTAATCCGGGCCCTCCCTTTCTGACTAGCCAATGAGCTCTTTGAGCCTACTAAGTTGCCGTTCACTGCCCAGGTGGTTACTTACCTGAGGTACCTGCTTAAGTTAGGTACTTATAGGCATGTGTCACTAACGGCTGCTGTGGGCACCCGTCCATTGTCGGCTCCGTGGTCACTGAGCGTATCGCTCAAGGAATGCTGTCGAGTGTGTTGCACTGAGACTGTCATCTGGCGCCTGTATGACGGCTGCAGAATCGCATGATGGATCAACCTCCAATGGGGAAGAGACACTTTTGCGAGCCTGGCAACCTGGAACTGGCCATGACCGGTCCACCACAGTTCGTTCGGTCTCAATCTCCAAGCGCCAGTGTGGTGGGGGGGGGGGGGGGGGGTGGGGAATGGGGGGTTTGTAGGGTGGTACGCGCGACGGTGGGAGACGACAGCACATGTGGTTCAAAACGTCTTGCCCGAGTTGCCACAGCAAAGGACTCCTCCAAAACCTGGGTCGTGAGCCCGCGCATACTTCGTAGGCAATCTGGCGTGCGCGGATCATCACCGTGTAACCATCACTCAAGGGATCGAAGTCGAATACGTATGTGGTGTGCGATGGTAGATACGTATAGTAGGTGGGTACGTAGTTACTTGCACGGCGGCCACGTCTCGATCATGAAACCCGTTCGAGCTGTCAGCCATGGGCCATGTACTATGTGGTGGAGATCGTCAGGCATCCCTCACCACTTGAGCGAGACAGGCTGCAATACTTAACTTATGTAATCATTGCGGCTCCAGCAGCAATAGGTACCGTGCGGTGTACCCAATCTGACGTGGGGTGGAACGGCTTTGGTGCCGTAGTTATTGACTTGCACGCATGGAGGCATGCACATGGCATTGGATCATGGTATTGATACCTGCCAGGCGCTTCAAGTGTGGCTGGCACTCGCCTTGCCGCCATGCCGCCATTGCCAGCCACCGAGCAGAAACCTCTGAGCGTGTCCACAGGCAGCTGTCGGGTGTCTGACCTTGGTCAGCGATGCAACGACCTTCTGCGGCATGCCCAGTGGGTGCCAGTGCATTGTTGAAGAATTGCGCAAAGAGATCGGTTGGACCTCGCGAGCCCAATGGGAGAGAAACCCTCCACTGACGCAGCCCTTGGCCAGGAGTCCTGCCTGGGCCGAGAGGTCTCAGTGGCTGCAGCCCCGGGACTTTGCGACAGGGGTCCCCAAGGGGGTCCGTCCAGGGGAGGCCGGTACCTAACGCGACGTACCTGGGAAAAAAGACTGCGCTCCAGCGGAGCGGGCGCCACGATTGGCCAGCCGCTGGCACGTTCCGTGCGTCAAACCCGCCCAAACAGGCACCGCCCCAGGTCCGCCCTGACGACCCCGGGACCCCGTCGCCTCGTGCCATCTCCTCAGACTGGAGTCGTTACATCGCCAGTCGATCCGACAGTCCCAGACAATGCTGGAGCACTGGCATCTCCGTCCAGCCCGTGCCAACGTGCTGCTCTGCTGCCTTCCTTGCCTTTGGCTCGCGCTCGTGGGCGCCCCCCCCAAGTCCCCCTCGGGTTGGCGGCACCAGCAGCGTCTCACCTCTGCTCTTCGCTCGCAGCCATTGGCTGGCTGCCGATGCTTGTTGACCCCCTTGTCGCTCTGGTCTGGCCCCTCTGCTGAGCTTAACCACACGTCCGCCGCCGCCCTGGAAGCTTAGCACTCTCCACCGTGCAATCATTGGCCTGCGTTCGCTCGATGCCCTTCGCGACGTCGTGGCTCGCTGCCGTTCGTCTTGAGCCTCATGGCCTCTCAAGTTACATAGTACATACGGAGCGGAGTACTATGCTATTCATCCCCCGTAACCGTATCCATACACGTGCCCGGGCCATGCCCATGCCCATGCCCATGCCCACTACACGTCCAGCTTGTCACAGGTTGCTTGCTTGGGGTTCCTCAGCCTCCCTCCCTAAACCCATCCTCGATCCACCATGACATGACACCATTTGTGACCTTCAGAGACCTGCATGAGGAAGCGTGACGTTGCCTGATTCCTACCCGTCGTCTCTTGTTCGCCAAGACATCTTTTTTTTTTTTAGGTCAAGTTCCCAGGGTTGCGGCTCGTCCTGTTTGATCCTTGGATCTGCTCTCCCTCTTCTAACCCTCCTGTTCCTATCATACTATTCTTTTCTGTATAGCCGCCTGAAACTAAACAACCATATCCCTCCTGCGGGCAGGTCCCTTTTTCTTCCCTTTCTTCTCCTTTTTTTCCCGTTGGGCTTCTTGATCGACAGTCACCCCTCCGTCCAAGGGCACGCGCTCAACCGCCACGTTCATTTCACATCGCCTTTCTGTTCATGACGACCGCCGGCCGGCTATTCTTCTAGAGAACCCTTATATTTGACATTAATCATTGGTTTCTGCTTCGTGTTTGGTCCTGTCCACTCGTAGAAAGTGATACGACATAAACCGCCAACATGTTTTGGAGCACAACAATCACGGCGTCGTTGATGGTAGCAGGGGCGTCTGCTGGCGTTGGAAGAATGGGCGCCATGGCACCGAGGAGCATGATGGAGGCAAGAATGGAGGATGACGCTGCTCCAACCCTGCAAGCAAGACAGAGCAACTCGATCAACTTGACGCCGGACTCGTCGTCGATGAACCTCACGCAGTGGAATACGGAAACATCGGCACTATGCACAACAGCCCTATCGCAACTGGCCGTTGCCTCGAACCCATCGGGAACAGCCGTGTGTTACAATATACCAAGTCTGGACACGAACACCGGCACATTCATGGCAGACCTGCGCCTGTTCCAGGTGTCCACGCCGTCGGGCGAGTTCTCGAGCGTTCCTCAGCAGAATATCCAGGTCGAGCTACAGTACAACGGTGCGACGGTATCGGCGGTTAATGTTTCCACATCATCAGTGGCACCTCGCGGCCTGGAGGCACGTGCCGTGAACCCAACACCACTTCAGACGTACATGTTTGTCGGCCAGATTGACCAGAAGCAGCTCGCTCAGCCCATGACAATGTGAGTTAGCCACAGTCGAGAATGCATCGACGCGGGGTTGCTAATGTTGAGAACAGGGGCGTCCTCGAGGCACTGGTTATGCCTACGGTAACGCTCAAGGGGGTCAACACGGGCGGCAATACTGTCGCCACTAATGTCTCGTCCAATGAGGCAGCCTTTGTAAATGGAGTCTTTTCCAAGGAGACCATCATGTCGGATCTGGCCCTTGCTCAACTGGCCGTCAACGAGGTTGTCGCTGGGCTCAAGAACGGGACTGTGGCATTCATCCTCCCCGGCGTCAATATCCTCATTTTCCCCGTCGGTTTGGTAGTCACCGGTTTCTGGACTATAGCAGGTCTCGCAGTCTACGGTTTCGGCACGTTCCAGCGAATCAGCTACCGGGAGTCATACAGACAAAGGAAGGCGAGGGCTGGCAAGGGCATGACTGGAAGGATATAGACGGTCTCGCTTTTGGGAAAAGAGCACTCCGTAGCGGACAGGGCCTTTTTATTTTACTTTATTTGGTTGGGCCTGCCGATATAATCATATGGGCGCGCACTGCTTTCTGTTGGCGGCAAGAGATCATTTTGCTTTTCTTTTCCTCGTCAACCCCATTGGCGGGTTGGATGGCTTGACATCCTCCACAGTACAATACCTAAGTTAGACAAGTACTCCATACATAGATTCTAAACAGGGGACAGATCAATATGAGTCACTCGACTATTTTGACCTACCCTTTGCGCGAAAGATTTATGACGTGGCCATCTCGAGCCCTGCAGAAAGACGCGTTTGTTCGTAGCCTGTCTTTCATGATAACGGTAGTAACAGGACGTATGAATTTGATCGACTGCAGGGATCTTGGGTCAGGTCCTATTTTGTGAGACAACCAATTGCAGCAAGCCAGGCTGAAAGCATTAAATTGACCCATGTCGGCAGTGGTGGAATTTCATGCGGCGAATGTGGTCGAATTAGAAGCTCGCCAGGCTCGAGGAGAGACGGCTTCCAACGACCTACCGGCCCGCTAACTGGACAGCAGGCACAGGCCATGGCCAGCGCATAATGCGGTGACGTGCCTTCATCTTCCGACCCTCACCCCTCTTGGTCGTGTTCCATCTGCGCGACACCGAAGATGTGGATTCGGGAATAACGAGACCGGGAAGCTGGCGCTGCTTATCGACGCAACCGGCAGCACTGGGCAGGGTGAGAAGTTGTCGACCAGCAAGTTGGTGACCGTGTGGCTGAGGTGACTGGAGGATAGTCCAGGATCCCCAGACTCGGACGGCGACACTGTGAGACTTTGCCTCTGAGCTGTGCTGGTTCCAGACGGCAGTCTCTGCAGTCAACGATGACATCCGCGCCTGTGCCGCGTCGCCGGTGTAGACAAGTTCCAGTGGAACAACTGTTTCATCAAGTTAATCTAAGTAGAAATCGACCAGTGCTTACTAGAGGCCAATAAGACTCCAAAGCGAGCCTCTGTTCCGCCTGGGGTGTCATGGGGATCGACTTTGCCCTTCTATCTGTGTCAGAAAACTTGACGCATAAACAATAGAACAAGGCTCTGTAGATCCTGAATCTCCTTCCTGGAAACCAACCTAACCCACCCTTCTTTCTCACTTCTCGCAGTGTCCTCAATTTGTTCAAATACTTTCCGTGTTTCACATCTCATAGTTACGTCTGGTATTCCCTCGTTATTCTCTTCCCGTGGTCTAGTTTCGCAAGAAACTAGGGAGCTGGTACTGCCTATCTACTTACAACATCCCACAAGGTCCGGCTCCCAAGGTGCAAGCAAACGAGTTCTCCTGTGTGTGTGTATTAAGTGCAACTCACTGCTACATAACCGAAGATGGACGTCGCTACTCTCGTCAAGCAGATGCACGACAACCTGTCCGAGATACACACAACTATTACTGGCGTCTCAACTGAAAGCCATCACGCCCAATTGGATGAACTAGAGAAGAAGCGGAACGATTTGCTGGACTCTCTACGAGCCGCCTTTGACCAGGAAAAGCAGGAGCTGGATTCCAAGAGAAGAACAGAACGTGAGGAGATTGCAGAACAACGGAGGAAGGAAGATGAAGAACGAGAGGCACGTCGGCGTCGGGAAGATGAGGAACTTCAGGGGAGAAATGATACCGAAGACCTTCAAAGGCACGAGAAGCTTGATGAAAACCTCAAACAGGTAGATGAAGATACAGATCAGAGAATGGATGAGATTGAGGAAGCCGCCAGACGAACGGTCGATCAGGGCAGAAAAAGACTGGATGAGTTGGAGGAGAAGAGACGAGTAAGCACGTTATGCAGAACGTGGTATTCCTATTTTGATTTTGCTGACTTTGGAAATCTCTAGGAAATCAACCGCCTCATTGACGAGCAACTCCAAATGCCGCTTCCAAGCGTTCCAACAAGGAAGAGGGCGCGTGGCGAAAAGTCGGTCAATGGTACTAAACATGGTGCTCCAGTCAGTATGCCAAGCCCTTCCAAGTTGGAAGTAGGACTCCTCGGTAACAGTGACAAGACGCCTGAAACGGTACCGACTCCCACCGTAGAGTCAGGAGAGTCATCGGCTTTAGTTTCAGACGAGGTCCTTAAGAAGGACGGCCAACACGAAGATGTCCGTACAGAGCTAAGAGACTCAGTTGCTCCCGAGGAAAGTCAAGCCCGAACAGAAGCTCCGGAAGTTACAAAATCACCTTCACTAGCCCCACACCAAGACCAAGCCGACTCTCAGGAAGAAGGAGTGGAAGGGTTGGAGGGACGATTGGCACCTCAAACGGAAGATTCAGCTATCGGCCTAGATCCAGCAGTGGAGGCAGACAAGACATATTCGCGGCACGCCTCGCTTTCTGGGAGCGAGTCTCACAGTCTGGATCCAACTGAAGAGTCGCACCCCCCCAAAGATGAATTCGAGAAGGAGGAAAGCGGGGGCATCCAAGTAGTCACTGAAATCCATCAAGTGCCTCGATCCTCCGTGGGACCGATCCTTACCTCAGAGTCTGCGGGCGACACCAATGAAGTATTGAACAGCTCCTGGTCAAATTCATCCATCGGCATAAGTGATGATGAGCCACTGTTGTTAGGCACCAAGGCGGAACCACTGAGGACTGACACATCCATCCAAACATCAGCTTCTGGGGAGGCGGCAATGCCTTCTCGCGCAATACGGGGTTCAAGTGACTCTCCCAAAGGAGTAGAGTTGGATACTCCAAAACCCAACTCCATCCACTCCATTCCAAGAGAGGAATATGATCTTGCTAAGGGTTATGCTAAAGAAGACACTGAAGACTCAACAGGGGCCCAATGTGAGTTTGGATCCAAGGATGACTCATCCGATCGCCCTGATGAGGATGCTGGCAATATACGCCCTAATCCAGGCCAGCCCAAAGCTATTGAAGAGAGACTGAGGACGTCGAACACGGCGTCACATGAGCAGGATGCCGATGATTGCGACATCACTCCTGGTTCACCTACTATCCTAAATGTCGGCGACGGATTTGAGAAAAGCCATGATGAAGCACACGATTCGGCCCTGGCTTGGGCAGATATTCCTCAAGATAACCTTAGCTCCCCAATGAAAAGTCGACCAGAAACTCCAACCGAAGCCGGCACAGATACAACCAGAGGTCTAACGACTACCCCAGACACGAAGCAACAGAATCCCCCGGTTGAACTCGCCGAAAGTCTACCTGACAGCAATTCAGACGTGGGTGGTTGCGAAGCGTATGTTGCGACGGGCCCTGGATTGTATCGGGGAAGAAATCAGGACCTTGGAGACCATGAACCTTCCCAGCCAGTTCCAACCGCCGTCATCGAAGAACAGTCAGCAAATACGGGGGCGATTGCCTCAGATTTGGACCGAATAAACGAAAACACAAGTCTGGGCTCACCACCCAACGACGATGAAGGTGGATCAGCGCCAGGTGGTGACGGAGAAAGCAGAGGAGAAAGCACCACTGCTCCGGAACGGCACTCAGAACCTGCAGGTGTGCCCTTTCGTGAAGCTAATCACACGCATGAGCGAGAATCCCAAGGGGGTAACGTTGTGGAAGATGCTGGCTGCGACCAAGGCGCCGTTGAAGTGGTTCACACAGCAGGGAAACCGGTCGACAGTCACAGCGAATGTGCAATCACCGAGGGCACTGACATCCCTATTTCACGACCCCATTATGGAGACGGCCAGCCGAGACTCCCAGTCGAGCCCGGAAGCGGTAGCTTGGGCCTCGATAGATTGGAACAACCCAGCGGCATGGGCGATGTGACAGAACCAAACGCATCAGATGAGGGTCAATACCAGCATGAAGTTCCCGAAGCTGTCGGCGAGATGGCTTGCCCGGGACACGACGTCGATATGGTAGATGACTGTGATGCTGAGAAGGCTAGATATATGGCGGGGGACTTACCGAGCCGCAACCTGGACGTCGATGGGTCACACGATAATCTCCCAGTCCCGGATGAAGACAGGGACAAGTTCAACCCGCTACTGGGTAAACGGATTGGGAAAGAGGCTCCAGAACCAGCGGTCACCAGTCCAGACGACACAAGATCAAGTACCTGCGGGTCGACTGATCGCCAACCCTTCGCCCTAAGCACAAGCACAGATCTTCCACATTCACAATCGAGTCCTCAGGAAACAGATGACCACCTCGGAATGGATAACGAGAGGCGAGGCCATTTGGTTGACTTTGGAACTGCTGAAGCTGAAAGTCCGAGTTTAGGACACGATCAAGTTCGTAGCTCCAACGAACCTCATCCGCACATGGATGATGAGCCACGTCCTAATGAGATCCTAGGCGTCAAATGGGGACAAGAGCCAGCCGGAGAGCCCGAGGAGCCCAACGAGTGTCCGGCTTCACTTGCAAAGCAGGACCCCGGAAACTACCTCAGCCAGGACAATGGAGTGGACCGCCAGCAGGAAGCGAATTCGAATCCAGCTCAGAGGCACGGCTCTTTAGAAGAGACTCCGGTGAACAGTGAACTGCATGTTGAGCCCAGCACCAAATCACATTCAGAGAGCGTTATATCCGAGCAAGTAAATCAAGGACCTCTTCAAATGCCCGGTTCAGCAGTTGGAAGCCTTTCGTCGGTAGTCACACAGGTTGTACCGACGCTAATGTTTGGAAAGGTGCCGAAAGATGAAGCCACCTCAGATCAGTCAACTAATGAGATATATGATGACCGCACAGAACGACTTGCTTCTGATAATACAATAGACCTCGGAGCCTCGGAAGAAGCAGCAGGCACTACTACCATGTTGGTAACCGATGGAAACGGGGATAACCACCTTTCGGTTGATCCTCCCACGAGACAGACAACAAGCTCGCCATTACCTGTAGAAAATGACACCGTTCACGGCCATGAGGATCTGTTTGACGACGACAATACTTCGTCCTACCAAGACATCGAGACAGACCAAGACGATGACTCCGCAGCTGAAATTGCAACGCATCATACCGTTTCGCAACAGAACACGGTGCATGCTGCGAGAGATAGTGATGGCATCACAGACAGTCTCACCTCTGGGGAAGGGATCTGGAAGCATGGTCAAGACACAGTTAGACCGTCAAATCAGAGCACCGATGATCAAGGGACAGAATACTTGTCAAAGGGAGCCTCCAAATTGGGATATCCAGAATCGCATGATATCGCCAAGACGCCAAATATTGTGCCTATAAGCCATCAAAGCGTCCCGGAGATCAGTCCTTTGGTGCTTCAGAGCGATACACCCACGACGCCTAAGCGAGGAGGGCTCGCAGCGAGCAGGCATGCTCCGTGGAACAGTCCTCAGACCCCACCTCACCAGACCGAGACGAATGCAGAGTCAGAAACCTCTCCTGCAGCGTTTACTCCTCGAGATGTTACTAATGTTCCCTGGCATGAGCGAAATGATTCGATTCCTCAGTCCCTACACAGTCAGAGCACGCTCTCATCAGCACCCTCTTCTCCTGTACACTCCGCTCTGCCGATTGATAAACACGAGCCGGTGATCCGAGACTCGTGGCATGGCCCGCTAGGCAATGGTATGCGTTCTCGCGCTGGCACGCAACTTACCGATCGAAACGACACTGGGGATTTTGATCCTTTCAAATACGACTCAGGGAGCTCGTTTTCTTACAACGCGAATTCTCCAATTCGTAATGTAGAGATGCAGCAACCTCAACCGCAGTCGAGCCGCAGTTCGCTTGCCGGGTCGCCCATGTTTCAGAAGCTGCGCAATATGTTCGAGGTTCCAACCGGCGTAGAGTCTAGTTCTCCCCCCTCACGGTCTGCTTCTGGTAACTTTCAGCCGGTTGGGCGGGATAGAAGTTCATCATTGCACAAGTCTTTCAATTTATCGGACACAGACGACTCCCCGCGAAGGGCAGGATTCCTCAACGAGCACGAGGATGAGGTTGATGAGCACAGTGCATTACTTCAAAGTTCCAATGGGTTCGACCGAAATTGACCACGCTCGGTGACGGCGGGTGCTGGACATTACGTTGGAAATGAAAATAATTATAGTGATGGCGGGCAGTGTGATGACTCTGATCTAAACCCAGGTGCGAAGGGCGACTTTCGGCTTGCTTGGATGTTTGTGAAAGGTTGGCGAACGCGCTTGAAAACTGCCAGTGACATAATAGAGAGGAAAAGGTGGGAATGGCACATGGAGGACATGCTTGATACTCCGAGATTGTCTCTTGCTACATCCTCGGTGGGTGCTTTAGGAGAAGTTTCTAAGGCCAGGCCGGCTATAGGACGAGCGAAGAAGAAGAAGTCAGTTCATTGGGCCTTGTGACAATCAATAGAACGCGCACGGTTTCGCTCCTGACCGATATCGGTCTTGCTTGGATTGAAACCTAGTAGCTGGTGACAATTCTTTGCGCTGCTTGTGGTATTCAAACAAAGATGCTTCGACACTACTCAATAGCAGCCATGCGGCACCAAAATATGATCTCGTGTAGAAACTATCCTCGTGCCTATCTCTATACGGTCGTGCACGTAATTCTCCAGGTCTGCTGATCGCATTAGGGTTATATTATTTAAAGACAGCGACAAATGTAGGCTTTATATAGTGTTCTAATTACGTAACTCCAAGTGCACAAGAGAAATCTAATATTTATAACTTGGGCACCACTTACAGCTGAAACATGTACACATAAAAACCATTATTCCCTTCCCAACCTCAATATCTCAAGCGCTACAACTTCCATGGTAAAGGGTTCTTCGGTGTGCGCACCAGCATGTCCATGATCTCCTCAAGCTCGTCCAGCAGCTCTCGGGCCATAGGTAGCCAGTCGGCGAACGTGACGACCTCGAACATCAGCTCGTCACCCTTCACAAATGCCTGGATCTTCCACTCTCTCAATGGTTCCCAATGCGGGTAAACTGTTTCCATCGTACAGCTCGCCTTGCCAAACTTCATCTCCTCGACGTGATACACGTCCTGGTGGACGACGGTGTCGAACCAGTCGACAGTTGCGGGCCAGTCAGTGCACTGCGGCACGATCTCACGCAGGCCCATACCCTCATGTTGAGCACTGGCGATGTGCTGGTGCTGGACATAGTTGAGCAGATCGAGGCCAGTCCAGTCTTGCTCGAACTTGACGCGGACGGGGACGTATTGCCAAGTCGGGCCCATAACAGAGTCGACGTTGGGCAGGTCAGTGTTTCGACCGCTGACCACTTCGCCAAAAACTACATCGCGCCGGTTCAGCCGTCGCGCGAGACAAATCGCCCAAGCTGCAGTGGGGAGGGTCGCGACTGTGACATCCCTTAGGCGGGCAGCAATGCTGACTGTCCGTGTAACATCACCCGGTATTCGGGAGCTCAGCGGCAGATCGGAGCGAAGAATAGACATTTCCGAGCCCTTCAGGAGCTCCCTCCAATACGGGATGCTCTGTGGTATGCTCCTGTTTACCGTGTGGTACACGAAAGCCGAAAAAGGCGAATTATTCTTCGTGGGCAGTCCATCATACAGAGCACCGAGTTGACGGAGAAGCGTAACTAGGCAGATTTCGTCATACTGGGCGTGCGATATTCTGATGATGAGACAGCTCTTACCCGACTCCCCGCGGGCAAGCATGAATTTGACGAATGCCGAGCCCAATGGCATCTTGGTGTGGACATCCATCCCGCACAGCTTGTGCGCGAAAGATTTGATATCTCCCTCAATGTTGTACTCATCAATGGTGACGGTCAGCGAATCAAGAACAACACCAAGACATCGCCCGTTGCTCTCAACAAAGACCGTGCGAAGTATCTCATTGCTAGCAACAAGTTCCTGGCAACTCTTCAGGAGACGCTCGCGGTCTACCTCCCCATCCAGGTGGAAAAGCTCATATCGTGCGGAGTACCGTGGCATTTTTACAGTCCCGTATACTGCAACTTCTTGGAGTGGTCTCGTGGGGTAGATGTCCTTGATGACCCATTCGGGCCTAGCGAGTGACCGCTGGATGTCGAGGAACTGATGGAAATCATCGAATTTCATCAGGGAGAACGGCTTTGGGGCCGCTTCAACCTTTTCCTGCGTCACGCTTCGAGCCTCTTTGAGAATATTTGCCATTTCATAAAGCGTTCGATGCTTAAATATTTCTTTGACGGTGAGCTCGAACCCTTCCAGTCGGGTTTCCGACACCAGCTTCATTGCGCCGATTGAGTCGCCACCCAGCAAGAAGAAGCTATCATCGAGGCCGATCTCGTCTTCGGGAATGCCCAAGATACGGCTCCACGCACAACGTAGTCCTTGCTGCTTGGTCGAGGACACGGAAATCTTGGTAGAACGTTTCGTCGTGGCTTTCGGTTCCTTCTTCTCGGTTGACTTATCCACTAGAATGATCGACCCCACCGGACTATATCTGGCAAGCTTCCGCGTTCGATACACCTTTCCGACGAGCGTGTCTGGCAACCACTTAGGGCATTCGATCGTCTCGAAGGTCGAGCTGCCCAGGCAGTGCACAACAAGCTCGCCGAGGGCCCCAACAGGAGAAAGTCGTTCAGTATCGGATGGGTCGACGATCCAGGCATCTGTCACCTCGACGTCACTCGAGAACAACGAGCGGCAAGTAGCACTGGCGGCACTGAGCCGACTCAGTCGATGCAACTCGGCCATTTCAGTTGCATCAAGCAAGTTCAACTCGGCCAGGCGCTGGTTGGGATTCTCACAGAACTGTTGGGTCAGCCGCCCAAGCTGCGAGAGCATCTTCTGCATCTGAGGGCTTGACACCGTCTGTGAATCGAAACTAGCCATGATCAGGAACCCTTTGGGGTCAAGCGAGCACACAAGCATGAGCGCGTAGGTGTTGAACTTGAGGGCTTCTTGGGCTGCTTCTTCATCGCCAGCTGGGACGAAACCGTTCGCAGGTTGATCTTCTGATGGCCCGGCCCCGTCCTCTTCGGTGCTAGGGTGCAATACGAAGCCAGTTCGGAGCTCGCACGCTTCTCTCGCATCGGGGCTGAGACGACGAATATGCTGCAGGCCGAAATGTTCGTGGGGAATTCCCAACACTGACTGATTGTGGACATCCTGCAAGTACTCGGAAACAGTTAATTCAGTGTTTACGGTCACCCGCACTGGGATTGTCGCAATCATCGGCCCTTCAATCTGCTCAACTCCGGGAATCGGAGCGTTGCGACCAGTCAAGGTCTCTCCGAACACAACATCATTCGACGCCATGTAGGACGCTACAAGAAGTGCCCATGCGCCTCGTATTGCGGTTGCTATAGTCGTGCCACCAGCCCGCCTCCCGAGCGAGACGTAGTGTTCGAGCAGAGAGTCAGCCTGCTGCTGGTATCCAGGGTACGGTAATGTCGGGAACTGTTCACCATCTGCACCCTCCAAGCGTTCTCTCCAGTACTTTTGCGACTCTTCGCGGTCCATCTCACAGAGGTATTTAATGAAGTTCTTAAAGTTTGCCGGTCGCTCAGTCGAAAGCCCTTGGTAAGCTCTATTGACTCGCTCGACGACCAGGGGCATGGACCAGCCGTCGTACAGCGCATGGTGCATGGTAAGGACAAAGTGAGTCTTGCCAGTCTGTGCTTCGTCTGTAACAATTGCATATCGCACAAGTGGCTTACCCAATTCCACCGGATCATCCCTATCCTTTGCCAGGAGTTCGGTCAAGCCTAAACCTTCAAAAATTGGACATGCAAAGTCATCCCTGACCACTACTTGCATCAAGCCTTGTCCTGGTATTTGCACAATCCTTGTTCGCAGGATCGGGCAGTCCTTGGCTGCAGTTTGGAAAGCGTCTGCAAGTCTCTTTGCAGTGTCAAGATCTCGCATCTGCACGACTCTCTGGGCAACATATGCCTCTGTCACCTTTGCTGAGAGGGCCATCAAAGCTTCCTGTAGCGGAGTGCATGGGTAAACATCCTCGACAAGATCCGGACTCAGGCCGCAGAGTACCGCTGTACCTTCTCTCGCTGTGTCTTCCGGCCATGTCTTGTTGAGAAGGGAGAAAGTAGCTACGGCGAGATCCGCTACTGAAGAAGTGGGCTGAGCCATCAGAGCCATATCCTCGAGCACCGGGTTGGCAAAGATGGCGGCCACTGACAAAGAAATGTCACGGCGCCGAGCAGCAGCGACTAAGCGCATTGCCCTCAAAGAGTCACCGCCCACAGAAAAGAAGTTATCAGTTGCACTGAAATCGCCATCTGGACCCAGTACCTCACCCCATACGTCGGCCAGACGACACTCCACATCGCTCGACGGTTCTCTCCTCTGCACCAATGCAGCTGCGAAAGCAGCGATGTCTCTTCTGTTCATCGATGTGCCTATCTCGCGTAGCTGCTTGCGGTCCGTTTTCGCCGAGACCAGCAGTGGCATGGTATGCAACGGTATATACGCCGCTGGCAGCATGTATATTGGTAGGTACTCTGACAGGTTTTTGTTCATGTCCGCGAGACAGGCCAAAACTTCGGGGGAAAAGGATCCAAGAAGACTGTCCACTCCTGACACGAGTCCCGCCTTGTCTGATACGAACGCCACGAGCATTGGTTCGCCAGAAGCGCTGCCAGGTTTGATGACTTCAGCGGCAACTCGGGTCTCGGAGGGTAACTTATCGCGCATGTGATGCTCGATCTCTGCCAGCTCGATGCGCTGGCCTCTTAGCTTGACTTGCTGATCGCCACGACCGACGAAGATAATGGATCCGTCCGTGTCGTATTTCACCAAATCGCCTGTCTTGTATAATCTACCACGGCGTCCAGGGTACTCGTTGCATCCAGCCACCAGAAATTCGGGATCGTTGATGAAGACGGCCGATGTCTTCTCTGCATCCCCGAGGTAGCCAGGACCAACAATGGCTCCCTCAACGAGAAGTTCCCCAACAGCACCCAGTGGTACAAGATGGTTGTGATCGGTCGGGTCGACGATCCAGATTGATCCACCACACCCCTTTCCGATGGTAATCTGCTTCTTTCCGTCTCGGCCAACCTGGTTGTTGATAGTGCAGCCGACAGTGCACTCCGATGGCCCGTAGGCGTTCACAACTTGAGTTGTCTGGCTCCATTTCAGTGCATCTCCATTCGATATCGCTTCGCCACCCAGCCCTAAAACCTCCAAAGAGGGGATGATATCAGGTTCCAAGACACGGGCAACCGAAGGTGTCATGTGCGCCATGTTGACATTCATCTTTCGTATGGCACCGCTAAGGTCGTTGACCCGGTCTGCTTCGGTCGGGATGCAGAGGCAACCGCCATTGGCAAGCGTGCACAGCATGCAGTCAATGCAGACGTCGAATGCATAGGACGCGAAATCGAGAACACGTGAATGCTCCCTATACCCTACGAGGTCTGCGCGTGGCACTGCGCCGCTGGTATAGTTTCCATGGGTGACCAAACATCCCTTCGGTCTACCAGTACTACCCGAAGTGAACTGGATATAAAGATTGGTCTCCGGGGGTACTGGTGGAAACTGCGTGGCATCAGGTGAGCCATCCTTTGAGTCGAAGCAGTCTTCCGCGACGACAATTAGGGCGGCGTTCGGGGCAGCTCTGCGACCGAGGAGCTCCTGGGTCTTCGAGGTCACGATATGCCTTGCGCCAGTCTGTTCAACAATGGTGCGCAATCGTCCTTCCGGTTGGCTCGGATCCATCAAGGCAAATGTACCTCCTGCCTTCATTATAGCCAATACGGCAATACAGGTCCATCTTGATTTTTCAAAAAGAACTGGGACGTTGCCGCCAATGCCGACACCGGTCGCCTGCAGGCGCGCCGCGAGACGATTCGAGTATTCATCGACCTCGTGGTAGGTGAAGTTGCCGTCCCATGATTCTACAGCTGGGCGACCTGGATTCTTCCTGGCCTGTTGTGTAACCAGCTCATGCATACATGTCGTCAACGTCGGAGGGACTGGCGAGTTCCAACGCCATATCTGTCCCAAGCCCTTCGCAGTCAAGGCAGTCTCGTGTAATTCGGTCGGCGGTGTTGAGTTGGGTGTGTGCACGCCATCGTCTCCCGAGTGGACAGAGTCATTGTCGCCGGCATGGTCGTCTTGCGCCTTGCAAGACAGACCTACCTTGGACGACGGGGACTCTTGGGACATCGAGGTATTTCTTGGGATGCAGCGTTTCTCCACTCGGATATAGCCTTCTTTCCTGTCAACCTGCGCAAGAGAGGGAGACACAGAAAGAGACGGCCTGTACTTCAAGGAGGACCAGAAACGATGGGAAACACTGCACCTGGATGTGGAATCCTGCAACTTTGCGGATCAACAGTACTATTATCCAACTACATTCAACGATGCCTGCGAAAGCGACGGGGGAAATTTGCCATCATCGCCCTGGCCTGGGCCCTGCCGACAGCGGCACTCTTCTGAGGCGATCAACCGGGGGCCACTGCGAGCGAAGTGGCCCCGTCCAACCATCGTCTCCGAGAGGTCCATTGTTGCATAGTACATACAGTCGCAGTGGTACTTGGGTACATGCATGCTAAGCTGCTAACTACGCAATGCAGTGGGAAAACATGGGCAGGGCGTTTGGAACGTGCTGGTGGCAGATGCATGTCCAGGGGTGCCAACGGGCTCGGATCAGATAACTTTAAGCGGATCTGATAACCAAAGGGGGAAAGACGGCCTCGGGGCCAAGCCGCGATTCCCTCGCTTCTGCGCCGTGGAGCCGGCGCGATGCGTCATTAGACGGACCTCGCCAGCGAGGCTTTACCATGCTTAGAAGCTCCGGGTCCTCAGGGTCTCTGAGCGAATTTGTGGGTGCTACGGCGAAAGTCGGGGAAACGAGAAGGTCACATTCTCCAGCGCATGGCATGAAGCCAAGCCTGGCCATCCATGGTGATCACGGGCAGCGGCGTTGCCATCAAGGTCAAAAGAGCCGACGGTTCATGAGTTGGTCCGACAAAATGGCGTGCCACTTTGAAGCGTGTGATCACATATGGAAGAAGGTTGCTGGATGAGCTGGTTACCTGTTCGGGTCTTCTGGAAGGATATAATGCCTTTGCATTCATAGCAGACAGCCAACAGTAAGCGGAGTTGCATGACCCCCACAGCTCGCGTTAGTAGCTGGGATCGAAGGTTTCCTTGAGCGACGAATGGCGTACGCTTTGCCTCGTGGTAGCAAAGAAGCGAACAGACTAATTAACCTGTGAAAATTTTCGTCCTCATGGATCATTACGCGGTGGAGTTTTCCCAGGGTCACATCTGGAGGGAGGCCGGGATATGATTGGTGATACGAAGCTCTAGGGCGGCCAGGAGATGGGGTCACTCGGATCAGATAAGATAATGTGCCGAGGCGCCCGGGGTTGTGTCCGGCTTCTGAATTTCCGATCTCGGCACTCGACCGTTCTCGTCTGCAAACACGTTACGTTTGCCTTTTGCTAGGTTGGCTGGCGACATCGTGCCCTCCCGGCCAGCTGGGAATTCTGGGCAGCGTGCGTGAAACATGCGTTGCGTGATCGAGGCCCTTTACCAACTACATGGATCAAGATTTTAAATGGTACCCAACCTGGTCATGCAAAGACTCAGCACGCGTCCCCCTTGCAGGAATCTTGGCTTCTCGCCCTCGACGTGGTCCTGCAGTGCAGAATCTAGGTGATAGAAGAAACACTGTCTGGGTAACTCGTGCATAGATTGCTGGCGAACAAGCCTGCGCCCGTAGACCAAGGGAAACAGGACATAAGGGGGTACCGGAATCAGACCCAGACAGAGACGGTCAGAGCGAACTTTTCCATTCTATTTGGGGAGAACAATTCGCACCGCCCAGCTATCATATTTGCTGGACGTTTCCGCTGCGCTGCCGTGCTTCTGCTGCCTCGGCGACCAACCAAGGACTATTTCGCACGGCCATGCATCGCGCTTGTCCATAGCGTGTCCCATGCCGATGGACACCTGTTTACAGTGGGCTGATGAGTGGGCAATGCTGTTGCGTTCTTTCTCCTACGGCACCGCGAATGATGTGTATCTATGATTACCTAGGTAGTTCAAGGACCAGGGATAGTGAAAACATGAGCTGACACAGGACTATCATGAGTCGCCAGTCGCGACAGAAGCAGCCATCCATGCTATTTGGATGTTGCGGACGTTGTGGTAGGCCAACGGATGTGATGGCCTTGGGTTTCATCTATTCTTTGAATGGTGCGACCGGAACTCGAAAACCCCCTATTTCTCGTGAAGCGCTGCGTCGTAACGTCGTTGCCGGTTTGGCCCAGCCTTATATGATGCATCGGCGTGCCCTTCACTGGGAACGCAGACGCCGTCGTGATATATACATGCAGACATCCTGGATCCTTTGCCAACGTTTTGGTGCCATCAGCATACGCGAATCCACTTGACTACAAATGGGATGCTTGCTGCAAGACAGAAAAACACCTAGCGGTTGAGCACACGTCTTCAACGTGATGGTCCCTCTTTCTACACCTGCCTATGAGGCTTCCTCGCCGACTCTTCCCAGGCCAAGGCCGCGCAGGTGGACCTCTCGCAATCTTCCGACCCAGTGTCTTCTCAGTTCCGGGGTTGACTTGACAAACATCATAGCCTTGTTCTCATCGGTCAAAGCCTTCTCGGCAATCTTGAGCTGCAGATCTGCGTCCTCGTCCGAGAAGTCGCGGAACAGTATCTCCATTGCCTGCTCGGGCCACTTGGCGGGGGCGCGAGACCTCAGGGCCTCGGCCAGCATGTACAAGCCGTCCTCGAAGAGGGCAGTGGTGTTGAAGGACGGATGGATGGGTTGGGCCCGCAAGGGAGTTGTAGCAGGAGCCGCCGCAGGGAGTGATGCGGAGCTTGAAGCAGCTGGAGAGCCACTATAGATGTTGGAAGAGAACCTTGACGGTCGGCCGCGACGTTTGTCTGTATCGGGGGCAAAGCGCTTTCGCGGATTTGCAGCGTTGGGGGTCTCGTCGGGGGGCGTGAGGGCGCTAGAGGTCGGGACCGTAGACGGGGGCGGGATGCCAGCAGCGGTTGGGTGGTGGTGAGGCTGGGATGGTGGGTGCGGTTGTGGATGCGGCTGTGTTTGCTGGTGCTGCTGATGTTGATGCTGTTGATGTTGATGTTGCTGTTGCTGCTGTTGCTGCTGCTGTTGCTGCTGTTGCTGCTGATGAGAAACTGACTGCGCCGATGCGGGCGTCTGTGAGATCTGTTGAGTAGAGCTGTGTGTAGGGGTCTGCGTGTACAGACTGGGCTCGATGGTCAGGTCCATGACCTGCTGGCCGGGATTGCTGGTGCCGGAGGCGTCGGCAGCGAGAGGCGTGCCATCGGGGCCCTTGCGCTTCTTCATGATGCGCTTCGGGGCGCCGCCGGAGCCGATGACGTCGGGGAACAGGATCTCCATGTACTCCTCGTGGTCGAAAGGGCGACCCCTGAGGGCCTTGGAGAGCGGCTCTTTCTGTAGACGCAGAGAGCGACGGTTAGTGGTGGGAGCAAGGACGGGCGATACGCTGGTTCCAAGGTACCTCGAAGTGTCTCTGCCATGCCTCCTCGCTCGCCGTCACCATGCGCGTGTTGGGGTTGTACAGGAACTCGGGATCCTCCCTCAAGCCCCTCCACATGCGGAACTTCTTGCGGGCATTGTCGGCCTTGTTGATCAGGTGGCTCTTCTCGGGGTAGGCGACGTGCTTGTCGCGCAGGGCGATGGCGGCGCGCTCCCAGGCGCCGGCCTTGAAGCTGTGGTTCTCCTTGAAGCCCAGCTGGATGGACTCGCACAGCGACCGGAAGAAGGTGGCCTCGTAGGCCAGGTTCCAGCTGAAGCGCGGCGTGCGCCTGTCGGCATTGCGACTGCCGTCTTCAGACATGGCGATAGCGGCCACCAGCAATGGCAAGCCCCCGAGGACCGAGGGCCGCGGACGGGGCGCGCTTCCGCGGCAGGAGGAGGGCTCCCGGAGGGGCTCCCGGGGGAGGGCTCTTGGTCGCAACAGCCAGAGCCAGGAAATCCGATTGACCTGATCTTTCTTGCCGTTGCCGCGCGCCCGGGGGTAGGGAAGGGATCGCAAATAGGAATGCAATTTATGGATCCAGGTATATGCCGCCGTGCCCGTCCACGTCACGTCACGTCACATCCAATCCACTTATCGGCGGCGCGACTTTACTTATCGTGTCCCGTCGTGAGGAAAGGCTAGCGCCGATGGAGGTTGGCAAGGTTGGGACCGGTCTCAGCGGCCAGACGGGAGCGGCCAGACGGGGGCGGGCAGGGCGGGCAGGGCGGGCAGAGTCCACACACCTTTCTGCTCTGAGTCTTGATACCGATCAGATCAGGGTCCTCCAATCCATGCCGTTCTCTGACCCTTGAAGCCTTGAGCACCAGCCAGAAATGTGAGCGGCGGGGCGGCTGCCAAGGAGCCACGTGATCCGATGTTTGTCGCCTATTCTGGAGTACCTGCGTTACCTAGTAGGCCACGGTAATCCATGGATGTAGGTACCTACTATGTATGTCTACTATAGGTAGTATACCTACTATACCTACCTACCTACCTACCTACCTACCTAGGTACCTAAGGTGCCCACACCCAACACCTACATAGATACCCTCGGGAAGGGCCGTAGCTTGCTAACCAATCTAATCCCCACTAAAAGCTGTACCACTTCCCAAACTCATAGGCACGTACATCAGTCATCGGTCATGCATCCGGTCTTCCATCTATCGACAAGGATCAAGGTGGCCAGAGTTTGGATTTTGAAGTAAACTCACAGGGTCACAGCCAAGGCATCCGCATCTGATGTGCCAGATACACGTTGCTCGTCTCCAAGGCCGGTGGGCATCGCGGTCGAACCAATGGCAGACACATGTACCGAACTTGGGTGCCAGGACACCGACTTGGCTTGCCGCCGAGGAACGGTGCTCTTACCGCATCTCTGTTGCATGTCAGAGCCTCGAGAATAGCCGGTGCGGTTGCATGCGAAAAGAGGGACTTCCTGCTTGAACGACAACAGGATTCACCCTCGCCTGTAGTTATCCCAGTCACGTTGTCAAGGCTCTCAAGCTGCCGATCCCCGTCTGGTGTATTTTCTGGACTGCGTATAGTAATGAGCGGCGCGCAAACAAGCTCAGGTCCTCTTCGACCGCCAGGCAAAAGCCTCGGCTTGGACGACAAAACGGGCGCTCAAGAACAGACACGAGGGAAAGGTCCGTAAGTTATTAGTGTGTGTCAGGCCAGGTTCATGTACCCTTGTAGCAGTCTGCTGGTGTCAAATCGATCAAGCAAATCAAGCCTTTCGGTCACCAAAGCCGTCTATCCACTGGCAGAGGAACCCATCTCCACGGCGGGTGGCCTCGGGAAAGCGATGAAAAGTGGATGGCTTCATAAGACAGAAATGCTTGTTCGCATCAAGCTTCATCTCATTTCCAAAGCTCGGAAGGCCGAGTGGAGTCACTGGCTTCGAGCGAGGCGGGCTTTCTCTTGAAACGGAGCCCGGCCAAGATGGTTAACAGAGATCATATGGGAATCTCGCCCACTGTCATCTCCCTCCAAGGTTCTGGAAAGAGAAGATGCCCATTTGGTAGCAGTCAATTGGTGGACGGGATCCCTTTGAAACGACTGCTTCACCGTTGTTGGGGGGCAAGCTGGGGGCGCTGTTTCAGCGATGGCCCGACTGCCCGTCTAAGAACGGCCCCCAAGACGAAGACGAAGCCAAGCTCCAACTGCCGACGCGCCGACGCCTACTCACTGCCCAGTTAGTTACCTAGCCCGTTAACTGAGCTACCGCGGACCAGTTAGGCGCTCGATCTAGCCAAGGGCCCGTGGAATGCCGGCCAACCCAAGAGTCAGAAAGGCTTGTTTCCTGCAGTGTGCCCACTCCCCACCGTCCACCCGTCGCAAAGGGTTTGATGTTTGGTAGCGGCTGGCATGTCATTACTCGTAATTCGTTGCTGGTTTGGCCATTGGGAAGTCTGCTGCAAGGGCACCGTATCGGAATGCATTGGAATGGGTCTTTTCTCCCCTCATCTCCTTCACCATCACAAGAGCGAAACAGCCCTGAGGCAGGACAGAATCATTGGACTGCGACGCTGCCAGGCTGCTACATTTGACCCGACTTCCACCATCTCAACTTTTCCCCCGTCACTCTCGCTGCAATGGGCACCAGCCAGGCCAGCCTTCAAGAGTGTGTCAACCCATTTTGTCGATCTCCCCAAGGTGCATCCAATTTCTGCAGGGCCCCTGCTGCCGCCTGCCTCCCTGCGCCGTTCTTCGCTTCGAAACATGCAAACACCTCCCGTTTCCTCAGTAGTTGCTATGTATCATGGCACAGATGTCTTTCCCCGAGCCACCGTCGTAGTCTACGCCTCAATTTCCTTGAAGGATGATTTGTCACACGCATTTGCCTCTTTGTCAAGGTTACACGAATTGGTACTCTTGTCCAGCAAGACCAAGGCTGGTTTCTATAGGACGACGTGTACCCAGCCTGGGTCATGAAATCCTCGCGAGGCGAGCTTGGAAATAATCCAGTCGCTGTTGCATTCGCCGCGCAGGTCGCAGGTCGCAGGAGCTCAATACTGCCCTCCGTGCTGTTACTACACAGTACATGTATTCGTGCGTGTTTGGGCGCCGCAGATGATGTGAGCGGATTGAGGCTCTGACAGCTAATGCCAAGAAGATGATCGCAGCGCCCGTGGAGCAAGGATGCGATTGGCCCTGGGGTGGCGGTCCAGGAACATATCCGAGATATGGCGGGCACCGCAACACGAGCCCCTGCGCTAGCCTGACGAGCTTCCTGGGATCCCCCTGAGACCGGTGCAGCTGCTACCTTTCTCTTCATGTGGTGGTGGTGGTGGTGGTAAGACCCGACGGGACCGCCCTCCATGCGCGTTGCAGACCCTCCCTCCCCCGTTTCTGACTACCGCCGCCGCTGTTGCTACAAACTACAACGTGCCCTGCGTGCTGGTCAGATTCGTGATTCACCCCACCATCTTGGCGCACTCTGTGTCTGGGAACTGCCTGGGTGGTGGATCGACGTAGCCTGTGCGTGTTTGGCGATCATCCAAGCAGATCCGGATCGAGACAGTGGTACGCAACTCGTGTGCCAGCGCTCGGCATGACGTGCAACAGCTTTCACGATCTCCGTCGCCCGTCTTGGCTAGCTTGGCTAGAGCTTGTATTATCTGCGGTCCCGACAGGATGTGAACCCCGGCTCATCCATAGACATCGAGCCTGTCCCCCTTGTAGGTGCCAAAATCTCTGAGTCCCAGTGGGCCGATCCTCGACTTCTGTTTTTGTGAACGCACTTCCTTGATGGGTCTGGCATCCTGCGAGCCTTGCCTCTTTAAAGCATGGATGGGTCCGTTGGTTTCGAGTCTTGGCTCTGTCTCTTCTCGTCCATCTTGTCCGTCTCGTCCTTCTCGTTGCCTTTCTTCGAGCCTTCACTTTACCGATTCCGTTCTTTGTATTGTTATAGATTGTTTCCTTAGGGGAGACGTTGGGTGACTTATTCAACCAGAGGAGTCGAGCTCCTTCTGTTCACGCTCCTTGTTCCTCTCTCCACCTGGTGTGGGATTTTCCAGCTTGTATCTGTTATTCCTTCCGTCACGATGCAGTCTTTTATGAATGTCATCTTGTTCTTGGGCTTAGTAGCCCTTGTTGCTGCTTCGCCAGCACATATCCAGAAGCGAGGCATCTACAAGGTGGAACGTGTGCCAAACCCAAACTACACCGGCAAGAATGGTCCCAGGGCTTTGTTGAAGACACTTCGAAAGTACCGCATGCCGATCCCGGCCGGCCTGATGGAGTCGGTCGAGTCGAATGAGATGATCACCAAGAGACAACAGGGCAAGAAGAAGGGAGGCAAGAAGGGCGGCAAGAACGGGGGTGCCACGGCAAACAACTCGACTGCCGTTGCTGCCGCTGCCAATAACACGGCGGCTGCTGCGGGCACTGGCTTGGTGACAGCCACCCCGGAGACAAATGACGTCGAGTACCTCTCGCCCGTCAAGATTGGAGGTCAAACGTTGAATCTAGACTTTGACTCGGGCTCCTCTGACTTGTGGGTTTTCAACACCCAGCTAAGCACAGCAGCAACGACTGGACATACGACATTCGATCCGACAAAGTCCAAGACTTTCGCGCTCATGAAAGGGGCCTCCTTCCAGATCAGCTATGGTGACGGCTCTGGAGCTGCTGGGAATGTCGGCACAGACACCGTTGACATTGGTGGCGCTACAGTTACTGCGCAGGCTGTTGAGTTGGCAACTGCCGTTTCCAAGTCCTTCGTACAGGACACCAACAACAACGGTCTTCTGGGTCTTGCCTTCTCCGAGCTTAACACGGTGCAGCCGCAGGGCCAGAAGACCTTCTTCGACAATGTGAAGGCTTCACTCGCAGAGCCACTGTTCACCGCTGACCTTCGCGCCAATGCCACCGGTGCTTACGAATTCGGTCGCGTCGATAACACCAAGTTCACTGGTGCGATGACTTGGGTTCCTGTCAATACCACCCAGGGGTTCTGGCAATTCACCAGCGAGAAATTTGCCGTCAACGGTGGGGCCCCTCAAGCATCGACTGCTGGCGGTCAGGCCATCGCTGACACTGGCACCACCCTCATCCTCGCGGACCCAGCCGTTGCGACCGCATACTATGCTCAGGTCAAGGGAGCCGTGAATGACCAGCAGGCCGGAGGCTTTGTGTTCCCGTGCAACACCCAGATGCCTGACCTGCAGCTCGATGTTGGTGGTACCATGGCGACAGTCAAGGGGTCTGATATCAACTTTGCCCAGGTCGACGCACAGAGTGAGTTTCACCTACTATACACGGTGGTTTTACTATACTAACAGCTCAAAACTCAGATTGCTTTGGCGGTGTTCAGGCCTCTCCCGCCAATCTGCAGATCTTCGGTGATATCTTCTTCAAGAGTCAATTCGTTGCTTTTAACGGTGGCAACAACTCCCTCGGATTCGCCCAGCATGTTTAGAAAGTCAGCCGGGCGTACGTAATATAGCGGCACAAAAGATTGAGGTTGCTGGATCATACCATGCATTGGAAGGAAAAACTTCAAGGGCCAGTATAGAGCTCAGGTGCCCTTGAGTGTACAAAGCGTTACTATCTGTTATATATCATGCAAGGAGAATAAACCTACCATTGGATCAAATATACGGCCTACTGTTTTCAGTCATGTCACTACCGGTGTACTGTAGCTGACCACAATCTCGATCATCAAATTGAGGCGGGTAGTAAACCACAACCCGGTTGAAAAACCCCCCGAAAGGAAAAAAAATTTATGCCGCGACTGGTCCGCAAATCGGACAATTCACGGAAACTATTGGACGCCGCACAGTCTCAAATTTGACTTCGTCGTTTCATCTGACCCCGCTCGTCATCGGAATTCTATTCGTACGTTGAGTTTCATTGAGCTTCTACATTACTAGAGTAACGTAGAGTAAAAACTAGTGGGTTATCGAGCAACAAACCATGGTGATACTAGTCGTGCAGGCTAGGCCAGAATTTGATATAACAGTCTTGGTCGTTCTGCTAACCTCAATTTGCGAAGTTCCGAAAGAACTCTGCGTGATCATCTCGCGTTTCCGATCCACCTTGTTGTAAATTCTATTGTTTTCAAAGGCTCACATGCGGCCCGATCAAGCTCATTTGTGGAAAAAATCAATCCAAAGCATTGATTGACACAGATCGTTGAGCGCCAGTCAGTTCCTTTTTCCTCCAAGCCGAAGTATGTTCGCATACAGCCACAAAACTGTAAACAATTCAGTTTACCCCGGAAAAGGTGCAACTTGCGACAACTGGATAAATCCATACAAGACTGTAGTAAACTCAATGATTAATGCACGCTATACATGATTTATTACACACGGAAATTGAAAAGTCGCGACTACATGGACCTGCCTAGGTACTTTCATATGGGACCTCGGCCAATATTTGCCCATGTCTTGGTCCACCATGACTGCCATATCAAAGATTACCATAGCACAGGTGTCCGCTGTTCAAGTGCTAGTGCAAACCCTGCTTGTTTTGTTCCATTGCCTGGAATGCTTCTGTTTTCGTACTGTAGCAAGCCGAATGGAGCAGCCCAATGAGTCAACCGGCCGAATCGCATCCTGTGCATGAGGGGTCTGGGTTCTGACCTTTAAGCTTAATTCTAAAAATAAAGTTCCTCAGGTAGGCTCGCTCCGACTTTGGCGCCAATAACACACGCCATTGAGCTGGGTTCGGACCGCTGAGCTGGCAGCCGTGGAGTTTGCTATGCTGGCACTGAACTCTTGCGAGATGTTCTAGACACTGAGATCCGTGCGGAGCTGAACGCATTAATCTATCGCGGGACCACCTGATCTGCATATAAACTGCTATTTTCGGCCTAGTGTCGACTATGCGAGATTCACCTGCATTGTCAACTTCCGGAAATTTTCCGATTTGACTGTCCAGCTGTGGGTGCCAGCCGTGGGACTTGGCTTCATTGGGCAGCTCCGGTTTGCCTCGCCGCAGGCATATATTAATCGGATTTCATAAGAAGCTGATTTATAGCCTCACAGTCCGGCCCTGGCGAATGGCATACGATCAAACTTAGTTGCCAGAAAACTTTATGTCTCACTGTGCTCATGTCAGTCGAAGTAGTCTGGGAACGCATGTTTGGCGCACATCAAATCTATTATTAGTTTTCAGGCAAAGCCAAGAAACCACGAATAGTACCATACATACTTTTAATAATGATGTTACATCGTTTCCCGCAAGTCAGAGCAGGGCTAACCCCGCGTCGAAGTGAAGACACCAAAGGTTGCGAACGTATCTTAGGACCCCTATTATTATATGCCTACAGAAGTAAAGGGCCACCTAGCTTCGTGGGCATGTGTTAACACAATATCTACAGCCCGAATCCGATCCTTTAGTTCAGTCTTGCGAAAAAAAAAAAAAAAAAAAAAAAAAAAAAAAAAAAAAAAAAGAACGTCGTACTTCTCGTATTGGTGGGTGCGTTTCTACTTATCGGACCATCGAATTGTCCAGAGGTTGGCGATTGTCCCAACCCCGCAGAATGAACACGAAGGAAAGCTAGAGTTGCATATCCATGGAAGGGTAAAAATTGTAACCTACCAGGATCAGAGGCATGCAGATGGCACTCGGCTGGACCTGGACTATTGTGTTACATGGTCTTAGCTGCATAGGGCCATCGGCCGAGTTATGAAGAATTGTAGGGCAACTATGATACTCGGCCCTTTTTCTCTTACTTTACTTATTTCCTCTTTTTGGGGGGGCTGCCCCTATCGCTGTTTTCGAAGTGGTCTCTTGCCGCTTATGGGCCATACCTCAAGCAAGAAGTGTCAAACATAGAGCTAAATTCAAACAAATAGAAAGTAAAATATTGTGACATATACTCATGCTATGGGTGGTACCCAAACTGACCAGCCTCTAGCTAGAAGATCTTGCCTTCCGCCCAACGGAAAGCACAACGGTCTAGACTCAGCCAAAAACACAACGTTCATCACCCTAGCCGCTTGGCAGGTCCTGGTGTCCAAGTTTTACTATATTGCTCGCTTTTCTCTGGATGCATCACAACCAGAATCAACTCTACGGTGGGTGATCCAGACTCACGATGTACGCCACAGGGTGTGATTCAACCCCTCAGGCAGGAGAGTACACCCCGATTACCATTCCCGGCCAAGGCTAGGTTATCTAGGTCATGAGGTTCTAGTGAGAGCAGTTACTCCATTCCAACGGGTGAGATACGAATATAAAAGGGACAATCCGCTCGCTGTTTGCAGTCTGCCATCACCAAAAGCGCCAAAGTTATCTAGCCGCCAGTTACCATCTAAGTCTTCTCATCCCCTATAATTAGCCTCCATATAGTCAGAATGCTCTTCAAGGGACTTCTCCTCGCCGCGCTCCCTACTGCGTTCGCTGCGCCGTCGGGCTCTATCAACGTCCCCACAGGTGCGGTCCCTCCCACCGGGGTCGTCATCGAGGGAATTTCCTACGCGGGCTCTGGCTGCAACGCCGGTACTGTGGCTGGCGCCATCTCCAAAGATCTCAGTACAATCACTCTCTTGTACGACAGCTTCGTTGCCCAGGCAGGCTCTGGAATCAAACCTGCCGAGGCCCGGAAGAACTGCCAACTCAACCTCCAGCTCAGACTTCCTCAGGGCTGGCAGTTCAGCGTATTCAAAGCCGACTACCGTGGTTACGGTTTCCTTCAAAAAGGTGACAAAGGCGTCGTCAAGTCGACTTACTACTTCAGCGGTGATTCCAGTCAGGTAACTACCCCTTCCGAAGTCGATTTCCGTGGTCTCAGGATGATTGCTCATATATCTCCACTCTACAGGTATCCTCAACGCAGACACTCACAGGCCCGTATGATGACAACTACCTGAAGACGGATCAATTCGGTCTGCAGAGTACCGTATGGTCGCCTTGTGGAGAGGAAGGCCTCCTGAACGTCAATTCGGAAGTCCGCGTCACACCCTTGAATACCAATAACTCGGCTCTTTTGACGGTAAGACCAACCCACTACAGAAAAATTACCTCGTCAAGTAGTGTAAGTACAATGTTGCTGACAAAAGTCCCGCAGGTTGACTCGACTGACTTCAAGTTCACCCAGATTCACTATTTGCAGTGGCAGCAGTGTGTTCGGAAGTAGGCCGGGCTTCCTGAGGTATCCCTGGATGTAGTGGCAAATGCCACGTTTGGTGAGGGTGATGTGAGAGGCTGCTTGTTTTCTCGACGATATGGGCAAGGCATGACTTTATGTTCCACCTTTGTTGAGTAGGCCCATGGAGGCCGTCTTGTACTTTGTCAGTCCGTGCCAGTTCCACAAGAAATACCACTTCGCCAGAGGGCACATAACATATACGAGAGCGAAATCTTGACTTCCTCGCAACTTCTTGCAACCTGCCGTACCCCGCCGTAAACCTAAGCGCGGCGAAAGCTTTAAACCGCGAGATACTTCTAAACTATGTCTCGAGTTCGTACCACACTGTAGGGCATGTAAGTTTATACAAGCATTGTTGTGCGTATAACGAGTATAGCAGCAGTAGGCATACAACATATATGAGGAAACGATCCTTGTCCCATTCGGCTGAACCAAGGTGGGACCTAGGACAGTCATACCGATTCAGAATAATCGCTATCGCTAAAAAGGGAGACCCATATGGGTGACCCAGCCAACCACGGCCAGAGATCACATGGTACCAACATTTTGTACATCAAATCATACCAGAACTTCCCGATGAACTCATGGCCCATTGAGTTTGAAGTACTAAACTTGATAATGGGATCGGTCAATGGCCAGACTAAGCCTAGGGCAGGCAAGAAGGTCATTTCGATGTGACAAGAGCCGTTGAGACTATGTGACCCTCGCAAGGAATGCTTTAATATCTAGTAAATACGTGCACGGGCAAACCAGAGGGGCAGCCTGACTGGAGACCCTTCTGAAAGCTTGGTGTCAGCTGGTGCTCATAACGTGCACTTTGGAAATGTAGTTAAATGAAGGCATGGACTCGACAGCCATAAACAGAACAAAACGAGCGGCTGTGACCAAGGTTGGCACATATGCGAGGCCTTCGGCTATATATTGGTCATCACCCTGAGCACTCGTGTCCGCCGCTGACATCTTCGCAAGTCGCATCACCCTCTCCGAACCGTAGCAATTCCCGCAACGCTGCCCGTGGGGGATGTTCTTTGGATGCGACTTTATAGTTTTGCAGATAGAGCGCAGTTACCACCAGGGAGATCAGGCGTCTATAAAGTGGTCTGGATTATCTTAGCTCAATTTGCTGATAGAGGAGCGGTAGCGGGCGTCATGGGACCTATTTTCTACTGTATCCCTTGAACCCTCCCACGGAGGATCGGCCCAGGTCAGACTTTCGGGACCCAAGACTGCGGATCACTCAAACCTTGTCCAATCCCTGGGGGAAATCTGGGCAGGCGACACCTGAAGACCTGTCAGGGAGAGGATGGGTCAGCTAATGATGCGGCTAGCATGAATCGACGGCCGGGATGGTGTGTCAGATGCCCCTCTCGGCGGAGGGCTTGTTTGCCACCGTTTCAGTGTGGGCGACACGGCGATTCGACAATCGGCATGCGACATGTGTGCTTCCGCGGCCATGTCAATCAAGCCTGCCCAACGGTGCATTACCCTTAAAACCTAGTGTGATAAGGGATGGCGAGCGTCTGTAGTTGTTGGGCGTAGGACAGACAGACATCTCTTCCGATTCACACCCGTGGAGACACGTCGCCAAATAAATAACTAACTTACCATTTCCTCACACGACTGCCTGGAGGAACACAAGAAGATCGAGTTTGGTAATGTTTGCCAAAGTATCTGGGATCTGCGTCGAGTATTAAGCGTCTGCGCGGCGCTCGGGATTGGCTGTCGTCATGGCCCCTCACTTGACCAAGAAGCGTCAGCCCGATGAACAACGACGCCCGACCATCTGGCGATTCATCTCATCCCGTCGCTTTGCGCAGCGTGGAAGACGGGACTCTGCAGATAATGCGGATGAGGTGCAACCTCGCGGCATTGACAGCCCCTTCTTTCAGGACTCGGACAGATCTGAGTCCATCCTCATCAACGATGACGATGACGATGACGATGCAGATGCGAGGTCGGCGTGCTCCGAGTCTCAGTACTCAGATGCCCATTCCACCTGGGAGCACCCCATCACGAACCGTGAGGACGCCATTTCGCTGGCATTTAGCGAACTGCTCCACGCGGACGCGCGCGACAGTCTGTCAAACCATGTCGTGCCCTCCGCGTCCCAGCCAGGGGTGTCGGGCAACGCCCGTAACGCAAACACAGGTACGACGGCAGACGGGACAAGGGATGACAACGACGTCGTCAGTGTCGAGGGTCTTTCTCATCACCTTGACACCTACTTGGCGCAGAACCCGGACATGAAATCAATCACCAGGATTGAGCGGATGGATGGAATTGACCCCTTTTCTACAAGCTATCTTGCATCCCAGCAGAGCAACCTGGAACGGCCACGGGAAACCGCCGGTGGAAGCAGTTGGACTCATGGCAAGGGGAAAAGTGTCGACAAAGGATCCGAGTGGAGTTCGGCCAGAAACCCTTGGGCAGTGCTCGAGAGTAACGAAGCCTGGCACGACGAGCGGCACGAGCTGCTGGAGGAAAATGCCCGTCTCCGGGAGCAAATCGAGGAAATGAAGGCTACAATGTCGCCGCCATCCAGGCATAATGGACCATATCATACAGAGATGCCCACTCCTGAGCAATCACCCTCTGCCCGACCAGCGAGTAGGCTGAGGCGCTCTAGGCAGAAGAAACGCCAAGATGTGACTCTGTTCGAGACCACAACATTGCGAGATCTGGTCCTCAAGCGACTATTTACACCACACGTCATAGTCGATGGGATCATTCACGACCAAGAACAGCCCGTAACCCTCGATACGCCCTTGACACCAGCACAGGTCCACGACTTCACCAGGATCATGAACGATATCATCACGTCGGGAAGCCACCTCAAACAACCAATAGCCCTGTGTGCTGTTTGCCACCTTCCAAAGTTCAAAGGCGTAAAAGGCTCGCTTCAGAGCTCTTATGTCTCAGAGGTCCTGGCACAGTTACCAACCGTCTCTTCTTCGGCCTTTGAAGACTTTGACCCGATATGGGGCACCTCTAGATGCTGCCGAAGGTTTGTATGTAAGACGTGTCTCAGTGCAGCCATTATCTCAGGAATCGGCACCCAGTGGTGGTTTGACCTGTCAAACCTCGCGGGCAATTGGCTCAAATGTCCTGTGCCATGCTGCGGGCGAAGCTTGCCTCTTTATTCAAGTCCCGAAGTCGCAGGCGCGCTGCAGAAGCTAGGAGTGCATCCTACGATCTCACATGTTGAGCGCTTCGAGCATGCCGCCAAGCTTCGCGCGGCACTCCAGAACCTAGATCAGTTGCCCAGCAAGGACGAACTCCGACGAGCCAAGGCTTTACACGATCGACTTGAGCGCCACAATCGAATGCGGCCGCTGCTAGACGAAGACCCCAGTGACGCCGGTGGTGGTGGTGGGGAGGTGCCCACGCCTGACTGCTTTGCCGTGGACACGGCTGACGGACGAGGCACTCTGACAGTACCGATCTTCACACACTTACTTCGGGGCCGCACCCCTCGAACCTGCCTGGTGTGCGATGAGAGGTACGAGGAGTTTGACACAGGTCATACTCAGGCCTGGATGCGGGCAATAAGGGGCTTCGATGGCGAGTGGACCTGGCGCGTGCTGCGTTTCCCGGCAGCCTCTATTCTACCCGCTTGTCATCATGATCTCGATATTTGCAGGAAGTGCTTGTGCCAGTACATCGCGACGCAAATAGAGACACAAGGACATAGTGTGGTAGATAATATCGCCTGCCCAACTCCTGAATGCACCCACAAGTATACGCACCCCGAGGTGCGGCACCTTGCAAGCCCCGAGGCTTTCGCTACCTATGATCGCTACACGGTTCTCAACTCCATCTCATCGCTGCCGAACTTTCGCTGGTGCTTACGAGAGGGGTGCACCTCGGGAAGTTTATACGACGAGCCGGCTCCCTATTCCCTTTCCCAGGTTGCCGAGATCGACACAAACTGTATAGAGTGCTCCGACTGCGGCTTTACAATGTGCTACGCCTGCCAGAGCCCCTGGCATGCCGGCTTGACGTGTGCACAGTATACCTCACAGCGTGAGGCTTCGTTTACCGAGACACAAACATGGCTACAGGAGCATACGAAACCATGTCCCGGGGAAAGTTGTGGTGTGCAGGTTCAAAAAGGCGATGGATGCTTCCACATGACTTGTTCTCGGTGTCGACATGAGTTCTGCTGGGAGTGTCTTGCAGACTGGCAGGGTATATTCGTACCGGATGATGATGGTGGGTTTCTTACAACAGACGGACACCGTGAGGGGTGTTTTTTCAGAGGCGAGGGTGCTCCTCTGCCGACGCAAGTCATGGGTCAGGATATCGAGACAGGGCTCAGGAGGTTGGAGCAGCGTGCTGCAGATGCAGCCCCTGTGGTATAGCATGGACTGCATACGATAACGGTTTATCCATATGGGACATTGGTTTTCACGAGGTCATGATTTTCGTCGCCTATCCAGGACAGCATTTTCAGGTGGCTGTTTCTTACTTGCAACTTAGCGCTTCAGGTTACAAGACAAATTTGCAAAAACCAGGCCCGTATTGTACACTGCTTGCATTGATATACCAAACATGATTGTCATTGTCATTCCCGACGAAGAACGTTGCACATTAGGTAGCCATCGGGTTAGCTTGTACGCCATGTCATTTGGCAATGTATCACGAACCTGTTCGTCTAGACTAGGGTCCGTATGCAGATATGGTAGAATCCCGTGTACTTGGACACAGTGGCTCTCGAGACCATCGAGTGTAAAGGGGCCGCCGGCTGACCTAGGCAAGGACCGAGTTGAGTTGAAGGGACTGGTGCGACCCCTCACGATCCACGGCCAGCTATCTTCGGTGTTCGTGGGCCGCCGGCCGCCTCCCCAGTCTTGGCGCCGCCGTTGCGTGTAATATTTTATGTGGGGAGACGGCCAACCAGATTGGATCCGGCCCGTACCTACGTGCTTGTCGGAGGGAATATGCGAGAGTCACCAGTTGATTTTGTGGATAGCTGGTGCCGTTCGATGCGGTCTCACCCGTCTGCCGATTTGGTCCTCCAAGAAGGAGTCATGCTTGGCCAGCTGTACTGTGACTCACGCGCCTTTCGCGCCTCGTCCACGCATAGCCACTGTCCAACAGCCTGCCTAGCCCAGCCGTACTGCGCCCTCAGTTCCCCCAAGTCGATCTAAACAGAAGCTTTATCCTTGTTGCGGATACCTCGAGACCCGATCTCGTCCACTATCATATCACCATGGCCTCGCTATCCGAATGCCCCTTCGATGTTATCCGGATGGTGCTGGACCTCCTCACCGAGGTTGGCGACCTGTGGAGTCTCGCACTCACAGACCGCCGGCTCTATCGCATGACAAACCCGGAGCTCTACGGGAGGAAAACTCTGGAGAGCAGGCGTGGTCTTCACTGGGCAGCCTTCCTGGGCCGGCCCGAGACCGTGGAGCTGTTTCTCAAGAACGGCGCCGATCCCAACTGGTACTGGTGTACGGTACGCGGCGGCCCGTGGTCCAACGACTTTTACGGCGGAACCAGGTCAACACCCCTGGCCTGTGGAGAGTGCAAAGATCCATCTTTTGACACTCTTCAGGACCGGTACGGAAGAGTCCTGAACTCGCGATGGCGAGAGTACGTAAAGACGCAGAACCCCCATGTGCGTTTCATGCTGGGGAAAAGCACCGACGAGATCGATGGGGGTAATCGACAGGCCGGGTCTTCCACCTGGACTCCTTTACATCTCGCAGCACGGGAGGGCCACGCAAAAATCGTCAAGCTCCTCCTGGGGCACGGGGCAGACCCAAGCTTGTCCTCTTACAATGTTTGTGCGTGCCGTGACCCCAAGCGTCTTGCCGTGCACGAAAGGCCCCTTGTTGGTGGTCGCGCCCAGGACGTCATCCCCTATCTCCCGTGGTCTGCCCTCCACCTGGCGATCTGCCACGGACATGACAACGTGGCATCTATCCTCATGGATGCTGGCGCATCCAGAATTGTGGATGGACCAAAGTTGCCGTTTAGAGGTGGCCGCCTATTTCGAGGCACTACTGCATTGCATACTGCTTGCCAGCATGGCCGCCTTGATACTGTGCGATACATAGTAGAGAACTCCTTCCAGACTGATCTGGACGTTGAGGATGCCCTCGGCGAGACAGCGCTGGACTATGCGTATCTTTACGGCCAATGGCCGTGTCTCGAGTACCTGCTGCAGAGAGGAGCCAGGCGGGACGGCCGTTATGACTTGCTCGCACACCCGATACACGGCCACTCGTTCAAGAGCGCGTCCCGACTGTTGGGTAACGGCCTCCGGTCAGGCACCACCAAGACCGGCGCAGGAGAACTTCACAATGATTTGCCTACCGCTCCCTTGATCCACGCAAGTTTATCGCGGCCTTGGGGGTCCCCCCCGCGCGGCCGCCGCGCCGAATTCAACTCGCGACGGTACGCCAGGGCGAAACGTTACGAGACACCACCTGAAGCCTCCATACTAAAAGATGGACTGGAGTGTTTGAGATATCTCCTGCAAAGCGGGGAAGACGTGAACGGGCGTGGCATGGAGGACGCGACGCCTCTGGCCGTTGCCGTCCGCCACGCCCCGATTGAGGTTCTTAAGATGCTGCTGGAAGCAGGGGCCTCGGTAAACGCCACTGACGTTAAAGGTCGTACGGCTTTGTTCCTGGCCTGCGTTTGGACCCGAAGTTCAGAAGTCATTGAATTGCTGCTCAAGTACGGAGCCAACCCTGAACGTCAAGGCCAGTCCTATGGGCCGATAGGTAAGGCTTGCCAAACGTATCTTGGGCCGAGGGCGGATCAATCCAAGCACGAGATGGGGCTCGAGGTGGTCAAAATTCTGCTCCGTCATGGCCCCAGGCCAACCGTGAAGTCACTTGGCGATGACCTGTATCTGGCAATGGGATATTCTAACCTAGCCATTGCCAGACTGCTACTCTCCAGGTTGGACCTCGAGATCAGCAACGCGGCCGACTACCAGAGGCTTTTCCGATCTGTCTGGACGGTGGACACCACTTGTCTCAGAACGGTTCTCGACCTGGACAAGGAGAATGGCATAGTCAAGGGTGACCTTTCGCTTTTGCGTCTTGTCCGCTACAAGGCGAGCAGCACAGAGGCGGCATCGCTACTGTTGGACCGCGGCGCGCAATGTGTCTATTGGTCTGAGAAAGACGGTAGTGCCTTGTACTGGGCAGTCGCCCATCGCCGCGACACAGCTTTCGCTCGGAGACTCCTCGACGCTGGTGCGAACCCCAACCAGCTATATGTGTCCGGGCAACAGCGATCGTGCGCCCTCCTGGAAGCGGTGCGGTACAGAGAACACGACTACGTCAAGTTGCTGCTTGAAAAGGGAAGCGATGTCAACCTGATGGTCCACGAGCCGTGTGCCGGCCAGGCCGAGTCTACGCCGCTGCTCCGGGCAGTTCAACAACGGCTGCACCGCGACAGAGATACCCCCGGGTGGGCGCGCAACGGAAAAGGGCCCATTGAGCGAATGCGCGACAACAGCAGAGGGATTATTGAAACATTATTGGCCGCCCCTTCTGTTCTCAGCTGGACAGAGCAAACCCGGGAAACGTATTTGCGGTACGCCTGTCAGTCCAAGTCCCCAAAACTCTTGGAGATGCTTGTGAACGCTGGCGCTGGGAGCGTATTCAGAGAAAGGGTGGCAGGCGATCAGCTGCACTCGAAGGTTGAGCAGTTGGCAGCAATATGTTCAAAGCCTCCACTCGGCGACCTGGACATCCGTTCCGTTGATCATGTCATTGACTGGCTGGAGTACTGCACCCGGTCCGGTGCAGCCTGGTCGCACCGACCGGCAAATGAACGTTCCAGCCGCGAATTATACCTGGCTCTACTGGATCCTACAGGACATCAGTATAACCATCACCTAGCGCGCTGCCTGGAGCGGAGGATATGCTTTCATGAAGACGGACAAGGTGAAGCGAGGGTCGTCATATCAAAGGACCCGCTTGAGCATAGGACCGAGACGTTGCCATTGCGGGGTGGCATGACTGGTTCTCAGTATCAAGGTTGGTAAGGCGCTTGGGAATCATGGCGATTGGGATATGCTCCTCGCTATCCCTTCACAGTATGACCTCAGCCGCTGGCATTATATATAATGATATACATATATCTTGGATTCATATATTACATGTGCGCTATGCACTTGTGCCATTAGCGTGCCGTACCTCATGCCCTTTCTATCTACTTGTGCTGGGTCTTTCTTGTATGGTTTCCAAGACCACGGTCAAAGTCAGACCTAATAATCCAATGTCCTTCATCAAACACATCCACACACTCTTTGGTGAGGAATAAGTTCCCAAACTCCAGACGCCTCATGTCTCCAAGCATACACGCTCAATAAACTCCTCCTCTACTCGCTCAGTACTCTTCGACAGCACAATTGGGGTGCAAGACGTAGACGATCTTCTGCTCAGCCGCTTCGCCGCTGTCATCATCGCCATCGCCTGAAGCTAGGCCTTCGCCGCGCACGGCCATAAGAATGTTGTCCTATTTTCAAGCAGTCAGTCTCGGTAATCTTTAATCTTCATGCCGTGGCACAGAGAGCAAGAAATTCGACATTATAGGAAGAAGGGGAAGAAAAAAAGAAAAGAAAAAAAAAAAGAAGACCCAAAACATACCTTCACCATTTTCTTCAATACCATCTTCGACAGGGCCAGTTCGCGATGGTAATCCTCCTCGCCTTCGAGCTCCTCCTCCTTCTGTTCCAAGTACCACTGCAAGAGATCCTCTGCCTCGACGCCCTCGCCTTCGCCTGCTGACTCATTCTCGTTCACACGGCTAACGAAAAGATTCACCATGGCAATGTAATTCTCGTAGGTGATGGCCGTCTTCTTCTTCTGCGCTCCGCTCGCCTGGGCTTGAGAGGGCGAGCCGTCGGCGTTGGCCATGGCGGCGTCGCCCTCCTCGTCCTCGGCGGGCCGCTGAGCTCCAGAAGCGGCATCCGCGGCAGCGATCAGCTCGGCAGCATCTTCTGGGGTCTCGTCCTCGTCCTCGTCCATCTCCACGTCGTCGTGCTCGACGCTGATGATACTCTGGCGCAGAAGTCCAAAAGCCTCATCGACGAACTCTGCGCTGATCCCCTCGACACAGTTGGCCTTGGCAATGGCCTCGGACAGGCGGATCAGACTCTCGAGCTGCCGGACGGTGATCCGGTAGCTGTTCTTGCCGATGCCTCCCTGGGAGTCGTCGGCACGCAGCTCCTTGTACCGCTTCACGAGCTGCTCCCTCGCCTCGTCTGTGAACTCGGGGCGGAAGGTTCGGGCGAAGCGGATGTAGCGCTGTAGACATTCGGTGCTGAACTCGGGTTCTATGGCGCTGTCGCGGAGCTGGTGGATGCCCACGATGTGCTCGGCAAGATGCCTGTCGATCTGGTCGTTGCACTCGTCGAGAATGACAAAGAAGAGATCGAAACGGGACATGATGGGGGCCGACATCTGAATGTTGGCACGGAGGGTCGTCTTGCGGTTGTACCGCCCACCGACGGGGTTGGCGGCCGCCAGGATCGAGGTGCGGGCGTTGAGGGTGGCCTGGATGCCGGCCTTGGCGATGGAGATGGTCTGCTGCTCCATGGCCTCGTGGATGGCGACCTGGTCGGCAATGTCCATCTTGTCGAACTCGTCAATGGCACAGATGCCGTTGTCGGCCAGCATGAGGGCGCCGGCCTCGATGGTGAACTCGCCCGTCTCCTCGTCTTTGATGACGGCGGCCGTGAGACCGGCGGCCGACGAGGCCTTGCCAGACGTGTAGACGGCACGGGGCGCGAAGGAGCACACGTACTTGAGGAACTGGGACTTGGAGGTGGACGGATCGCCGACGACGCAGATGTTGATGTCGCCACGGAGCTGCATGCCCTCGGCGGTGGTCTTGTGGACGCCGGACATGAGCTGCAGCAGGATACCCTTCTTGACGATCTCGTGGCCGTAGACCATGGGGGCGATGGACTGCACGAGGCGGCTGTAGATGTGGCTGCTGTGCACCATGTCACGCAGCTCGTCGATCTCGGCGGGGGTCATGGAGCTCAGGACGGCCGACTGGGCCTCCTCGACCGTCTCGGCGTTCTCGGCGTTGGCCTGGGTGAGGGAGCCGATGATGTCCTGGACGGGCCGTTGGGCATTGGAGCCCGGGGTTGAGGTGTCCGAGTTGACCATGTTGGCGAGGAAGGCCAAGTGGTAGGTCAGGTCGCGCACGCCCAGGGCCTTGAGGCCCGAGACGCCACTGCCGCCCACGTCGTTGCCGCGGGGGGCGTTGCGGTCATCGCGGATGGCCGTGGGGCGCACGCCGGGTAGGCCGAGCTGGGAGACGTCGGGCACGACGATCAGGGCGCCGGTGAAGATGCACTTCTCGCCGGCCTTGGCGCGGTCGACCATCTCGCCACGAAGGATGACGTCCATGGTGCGAGGCATGCTGCCGGTGGGGATCTCGGCGCTGTTCTCCTGGATGCGGACCTTCTGCCAGTCGACAAAGGTGCTCTGGCGGATGTCGAGCTGCCAGGCGAGGCGGTTGTTGCACTGCATGTTGGGGCACTGGGTGGGCTCGGTGTAGCGGAAGGTCTGCTCGACGTTGGGCACGACGGCGCGGCAGGCCTCGCAGGCGAAGGTGGCCAGCGAGAGCTCGGGGCGTACCTCGGAGGTCCTGGTGACGGTGCCCGAGATGGAGAGCAGCTGGCCGATGTTCTTGGCGCGCAGGGCGCGGACGCGCGAGACCAGGGGCAGGTTGTAGAAGGCGATGGCGAACAGCTTGTCCGTCTGCTGGTTGGCCGTCTTGCTGCCCTGGGCGGCCTCGGACTGGCTGGCAGAGCCGGAGCCGGAGCCGGAGCCGGCGTTGCTGGCGGCCGAGGTGGTCTGGTTACTGGAGGCGGTGGGCTGGCGATGCTCACGGAAGTACTGGGGCTCGTGCTTGGCGATCATGTTGTGCAGGCCGTTGGTGAGGAAGGGCAGGAAGCGGTAGTACTGGCTGTTGATGGCGTTGGACAGGCCGCCGTTCTGGTAGGCGGCGATGTGGTCGTAGTTGACGTAGAAGGTCGACAGCTGGTAGACACGCATGGCGTGGATCTGGGCGACGTAGTACTTGTCCGTGGTCACGGCGCTGGACGTCGGGGCGCCCGACGATGAGGGATCCTCAATGAACCTGTAGACGGTCGGGTTAAGCCTTGGACGGGACGGGACGGGACGGGACGCCCAGGAGAGAGAAGTCGGGCAGACTCACTCCTCGATAAAGTTCTCAAAGTGCTCCTGCACCGTGATGCCGATCCTGTCCTCGACGCGCGGCACGTCCTGCGCAGCACCACCAACGCGGCGCGCGCGGCCGGGGATCTGGTCGTCGGCGAAGCCCTCGGCCTCGTCGTCGCTCGGGGCAGCCAGGCTCTCGGAAGGGGGCGCGCGGGGGCGCGAGTTCCTCCGGCCGGGCCGCGATGGGGCATCCGACATGATCATGCCGGCATCGCTCGAGGTTGCCATTGCGACAATGTGCTGCAGAGTCTGGTGTCGGCCAGGCCCTGGGGGAAGGGGGGATGGGCTGGGCTTCGTTCGTTGGGGAGGGGTCAGTCAGTCAGTCAGTCAGTCAGCAGCAACGGACCGAGCCGCAGCGAGGAATATACGTAAATGTGCGTGTATCACACGACGGCGGTGGTGTCGTACCCTGGAAATACCGGCTTTCGGATGGGGGCAGAGGAGGATGATGGTGGTGATGGTGATGGTGCTGGTGCTGGTGCTGGTGCTGGGTGATGAGGAGGGGCTCAAGGGGGGGGGAAAGAGAATGGGAGTTTCGCGTCTTTTTTTCTCCTGAGACGCGTCCGCCGACGCGGGCCAGGCGCGTCCCCGCGTTCCTCCCCAACGCTGTTTTAATTGATTGCATGGCGCTAAACTGCATGCGGCATGGTCGGCTTGGCTTGTATATGGCAACTCGGTTACATGGTAAACTTATGTAGTTACAGGGGCAACGATCTATCCGTCCATCTACCGGTACCTACCTACCTCAGACTGCATCTTCAACAGATTGTCTATCTGACTTGCTGATTTTGCATGTCCCGAGGATAGAGCGGCCAGAACCCTTTTCCGACGGCACGAACCAGAATCTCGGCCGTCCTCCCCGAGCGAGAGGCAGATTAGATTCTACGGGTCAAACAGGGACACTTGACAATCGTCAGATCGTTTGATATACGCATCGCAACACACAAGACTGCTTCACAAGGCATGGTCTCTCTGGTCTATTACGCCGTCATCTCATCGGAGCTACTGCTTCGCTAGCTGGAGAGCTCATTGGTCTTGCGCGTCTCCTTCTAGACTCAACGTCTGCTGGTTCTGTACCTCGCTGAGCTGGATGCTTCCTGTCTTGCCACGCGCCCCTGCCATGAATGTCGCATCCGCCTCCTCTCAGGACGCCCTGGACAGGACAGTTACTTGTCCCTGGCCAAGGCTAGGCGTTTCTTGTTTCATTTCATATCGTCCCTCGGGTAGACGTTGCTTTTCTTGAAAGAAAAAAAGGTTATTCATCATCCCTATCATTCCTTGCAACGCCTGGCAAACATCCCTTGTCCAGTCGGTCCGGTCCAGTCCAGTCCAGTCCAGTCCAGTCCTTGCCTATTCTGTGCTCCAATGACATATACATTCCGGCCGAAGTGGCATCATCAAACTCATGCCAGGCCGTCTTTTCGTTTTACAGTCGTGTGGAGTCGCAGCAGAAGAAGAAAAGACAGACACAGGTCTGAAAGAATTAAAAACGAGTACGCATGATCAAGCGTGGCCCTCCCCTCATGGCGAGCCCACAATATCATTGGAAGCCGCGCCCCTATGGTGATGGGAGTAGGCTGGGAATCAAGAGGCGACGTCTTGTGTGCATGAAACACCACCGTCGCCTCCTCAAGTGCTCGCCCGCCCGTCGAAAATGCGCGAAATCGGTAAATCACAGCTTTGCTTCCTAGTACTTGTACACGCTGTCATGGCGGATCAACGAGAAAACAGAAAAGTAAATAGTCGGGCGTCGGTAGTCTTCCGCCACGACAGAAAGAGGATATAGTGTAGTTGTGTCACTGTACACACGGTCGAACTTCGTCTTGCCGAGTGAACAGGAAGTACAGTGTCTGGCTGAGTCGTAGGTAGACAGGAGAGCATCTCTCTCTCTCTCTCTCTCTCTCTCTCTCTCTCTCTCTCTCTCTCTCTCGCCTCGGAGTCAATCAAGTAGGTCGAATTGCGAACAATGGGTACTGGCAACGCGAGAAGAGCACTCCAGACTGTCTCCCAAAAGGACCCCGTCGCCCTTTTTCTTCCTCTTAGGATTGGGTAGCCTGAGCCAGTGTCGACGCGTTGCGGTTATTCCAGTTCTCGGACCGCGCCCGATAGCCACTACCACCACGTCCCCGGCCGGATGATGCACGCTCTGGGCGTTCAGACGTTGACGTCGTGGCCGTGTCTCCAGGATCTCGGCCCCCGCTGCCGCCGCCGCGTTGGCCACCCCGTGAGGCGTGTCGTCCGCCACGGCCCTGTCGCTTTGGGTTACTTCTATTTCGGGGTCCAAAAGGTGCCAAGACCGTCTTGGCCTCACCCATACCGGGCGCGCAGATGCGGTACACGCTCTTGTGGTTGAGCGTCTCCCAGGCGAACCGTACCGATTCCGACGACACAGCATCGACGCGGTGCTTGACCTGCAGCGGGTGCCAGTTGGGCTCGACCGCTCGCGACGGCCACAGCGCCCGCGGCGCAACGTTGGGCAGGCTGACCTGCGGGAGTGACCCCATCTCCTGTTCGTCAAAGCACTCCTCGGCCATCTCCTTGGTCGTCATGTTGCTGCTCTCGCTGGTCGAGGAACCTGTCGGGGACAGGGCCGGCAACGAGACCGTGGCCGACAGGTTAGTATGAGCATCAAAGGCAGATTTGCTCGATGAGTCGACCGTTGTCGGCTTGGCCGGCGCCCCGGAGTTGCGGACCAGACTGTTAATCTTTTCCTGCCAGTTCTCCTGCTTGCGGATTTCGTGTGGTTTCTGCACGCTACCGCCGTAGTTCACCCCACGGCTAGACAGTGGAGCAGCCGCCACGGGGACGGCAGGGCGAGGCACCGTAGCCACCGCCGCGGCGAATGAGGCAGGGCGCGAGGGTGCAATGGGAGCGGGCGGCTGTTGAGTGGGCTGGATTCTCGCTGCCATCGCCGGGGGCAGTTTCACGACAGGCCGGGCTGGGGGGAGGGCAACGTGAGGACGCCCCGCATCACCGTCGTACGCGGGGTGGTCGTCCATCGTCGGAGGAGGCGGTGTGGGGGACTTGGACCTCGAGGGAAGTTGAGTTTCTTCTTGTCGGATATCCCGAGATTCGTGGGGGAAGAAGCGCGAGCCAGCACGTGGTTGGGCGCCGGGCTGGCCGCCGGGTGCAACGGTGCCCGCAGGACCGACAAGGGAACGACGGTTGTTGTAACCCCCATCTGGACCTTGGTGCTGGCGGTAATCCTGCCGCTGTGAGGGCTGCTCCCTGGACGGGACATGGACAGTGGTCAAGGCTTCAGCCGCAGCTCGTTTTCCATCCTGTCCGACGTTGACGCCGCGCCAGGTGTCTCTCACCGGTTGATGAGCTTCGTTGGTGTTGACGCCCTGGCTCTCCAGGATTGCCTTGTGTTCGCCCAGCTGCTGCAATTTCCGTTCGCGAATAGCACGGTCGTCGGCGGCGATATCCGCCGTAGCCCAAAGATTGCGACGTGCAGGGGAAGCCTGGGCCTGGTTGGGGCCTGGACGACTGCCGGCCGGCGGTCCAATGGGCGGGAGGCGACCAGGCGGCGGGTCTGCTCGTTGGGTCTGATTCTGCGATATGCTACGGGGCGGCCCAATGGGTGTCGGCCTGGCCGTCAAGCTCGCCGGCTCCGTCGGCTGTGAGCCAGCTAGATGACCAATGTCGGCGTTGAATGTGCCGTTACCCAGAGACCGATCGTTCCCGGGGGCAGCCCAGACATTCCTGGATCCCGAGTGCGCGCTGCCCCCTCCCCAGGAAGCAAGACGCTCCGCGGGCTGAGGAGCCGCATCGGGCCAGGATGCTGCAGGCTGCGCGCCGGGCGGCGGGCTCGGCCGTTGGGGTTGCGATGCTTTCCCAGGCCGTTTGGGGTCACTAGCTTGCGCCTCGGCCTTGGCTGGCGAGACATCCCGCTTGTTGGGCGAGGTGGCAGGCGGGTGCGGCTGGGCGCGCTCGGCTGCGGCAGCAGCCAGATCTTCCTTGGAGAAGATGCCAGCAGGAGGGCCATCGCGCTTGTAGGTAGCCTCCTTTGGCTCCTCCTTCTTGCTGCTCTTGCGTTCGGGGGGCGGACCCATGGCCTCGAGCTTCAGACGGATACGCTCCTGCTTGGCCGCCTCTTCACGGGCCTCCTCCTCCAGTCTGCGCTTGATAGCCAGTTCTCGGCGCTCCCGCATCAGCTTCTTTTGGAGCTCAATGTCATCCTCCAGCTGGGCCGCCGGCGGGACATCGTGCACCGGCAACTGCGGCACCGCATGCGTCTGGGCGGGTGAAGGGCGGGCCTGCCAGGGCTGCGCTGGTTGGGAGCGCGCGGGCGAGGGTTGGCCGGGGCCGGTCATGCTCTGCTGGCCATCGAGGGACGGCGTGTCGCTGGGCCTGGGTAGGCGCTGCAGAAAACCGGCGCTGACACCACTGACGTTGGATGACGTGCGGCGGCGACCGTAGGGCATGGCGTCGTGGCTCGTTCTGCTCGTCTGGAAGGCAGCGGAGGGTTCGGCGGGGCCCTGTTGCTCATGTAGCGAAGGGCGCTGGAGGAGGTGGGGTTGGCGATGGGCCGGATCATGTCGCGAGCCTCTGCGGTCATGTACGGGTTCGTATCTGCCCGACTGCGAGTTGAACAGCTCGCGGTTGCCGCCAGCTCCCGGCTGGCCGTCGCGCCACGGTGCTCTGGTGAAGTCGTCGGCGGCAATCTCTTTGGCGGGCGGTGGGCCGCTGTTGGCAAACGAAGGGTCTCGGGGAGGGTAGCCACGGGTCGGCGGGGGTGGCTGTTGCTGATGAAGTGGCAGATCCATCAACACAGGCGAGGCCTTTTCGATGGGCGGTAGAGGTGCCCAAGGGGACTTGACGGGCGTGGGGGGCGCGGGAGCCTTGGCAACTAGCGTGGGCTTCTCTGGCGCGCCCTTGAGAACAAGGCTCTTGCCAGACGCGAGCACACCAGCCTTGACCGATGGCGAGGCTCGAGCACTTCCGGTCGTGGCACCAGTCGTGGGCGCGGGTGCGGGCGCCGGCGCGGGCGTCGGCACGGGCGCAGGCGACTTGGGCTTCTCGGCCTGACCCAGGCTCTTGGGTGGTCCAGACGAAGAGCTCGAGGCGGCGGGAGGAGGTAGTTGCGAGGAAGTGGCGAGAACGGCGGCAGGAGCAGCGAGGGGCGGATTATCGTCAACTTGGGGCAGGGTGATCTTGGTCCCGTCGGTCCACGTTATGGTGTCGGGCGCCCATTCTTCGTCGTCGTCGATGTCGGCCCAATTGGACTGGCCCTTGTCGTCCTCGGGTCGAAGGCGGTCTGCCATGTGAATGCCGTATTTGCTCATCAGCTCCTCGTCCGACAGTTTCTTGGGTTCGGGGACGGGCACAGCTGCAGTCGCGATTGCGTGTCAGTCGAGGTCCGCGTCTCACAGTCAGGGCAGGGGGTCAGGGCAGGTCAGTTCAAGCAAGGCTTACGTCGGTTCTTGTTCCAGACGGAGCTGGCGTCCGGGGCGGGCGGGGCCTTGCCGTTGGTGGTGAGGGTCTTGGTCGAGCCGCCCAGGCTGGAGCCCGACTTGGCCACGAGCTTCAGTTTGGAGCCGGAGGAACCTGGGGCGGCAGAGGGCACGGCTGGGGCAACCGAGGGCGATGTGGACTCGGAACGGGAGGTGGCGTTTGCGGCATTCTTTGCACCGAGAAAGGTCCTGTTGACCGAGACGGACTTGAAGCCCGAGGGCTTCTTGGCCGTCGAGGAGGAGCGCGCATGGCCGTCGGGCAGGAGCTTGACCCGGGAGGCAGATGCTTCGGTATCCGAGCCGCCGCTCACGCTGACCTCGGCCGAGTGGACCAGATCGTCGACGATGTCGGCGATCTGCCTGTTCTTGTCCGTGTCGGGGGCATTGTAGGCGGCGGTGCCGTTCACAGCGGGCGGCGCGCTGGCCGAGTCGGCATGTTGAGGTTCGGGATCGGCGGGCGTAGCAGTCTGAGGCTGAGAAAGTTAGACGGGTCGGGCTGGCTGGCCTGGGGGAGGGGAGGGCTCGCAGGGGAAAGCAGGGCAGGAGGCAGGGGACGTACGAGCGAAGCTTCGGTTATAGAGACATCTACAGGCTTCTCACCGGTGGCCTCAGTAGCCATCATCCACTCTGACGGTGCGTCGATTCGGGGTGGCGTGGGGGCAATCAAGCCGGCGGTCGGTGGCTGGGGGGGGATGCGACGCGGGTGCGGTGGGATGCGACGGGGTGATGATCCAAGGTCGCCGGAGGAGGTGGCAGTTGAGGCGCTGCCGATGGACGATGAAGACGGGGCGGGTTCAGATCAGGACGTCGGTCGGTCTGTCTGTCTGGGTGATGGGGGTTGAGATGGTGTGTGGTGTGGTATGTACGTGGTGTGTCGTCGTCGTCGTGGTCCCGTCGCAGTGTTCACTTCCAAACTTTCAGCACCCTGGTCGGCCGCTAGCGAATCAGCGGCCTCGGGCTAGCGGGTGGGGCCTCTCTGCCACAGCAGCAAAGTACCTAGGCCCCGGGGGGACTTAGTACGGTGCGTAACTAGTACTCGGAGAGGCTTAACTTAAGAGTGCCCCCCAAGGGCCCAGTCCGGCCTGCGCCGAGACCCAGGACATCAAGACACTGGACACGGCCCTTTCTGTGGTGACAGACAACCTTCCAGGTTGGGAGGAAGACAGGCACGCAGGTCGGCGGCAAGTCAAGAAATATTTGGGCCAGGTTGATTAAGCTACATACCTATGTACCCATGTGAGCACCCATATTCACATACCTCACCCGGGGCAGGGTAGACGACCCGAACGGCACGGCAGAGAGGAATGGATGCCCCAGGTCCAGTGGAAGCTGCAAAGCATACTATCAAAGGCGATTGCCACGGCCTGGTATTGAGCCAGACAAGAGAAAGGTACAAAGACGTTATTTAAGAAGAAATCAAAATCAAAATCAAAGGGAGGCATGTCATTAGGCGCATCAGTACCTAGCTATGTAAGTTTCCTACGTGGATGGGAAATAAAACATGCACTGCGAGACGCCTGTACTGCCGCGAATCTACATTATCCCCTCCCTATCGGCTGTTCTTGTCATCTTTATCTGCAGCTTCCAGGCTCCCGGCCAGCGCTGAGATCAGACCTGGTCGGGTGCAACGCTGGCCTCAGCCAAGTCTCACGGTGATATCGTTCGTTCAGTATCCAGTTCCGATAGATCACGGCATGTTGAGCTGCAGGCCCCAAGCAACTGGGCCGATGGTGAGCATGTGAGACAAATAAGCACTCGGGTATGTAACGGTAAGACTATCCCAGAGCTACACTGCAATCCACCTTCCATATATGCCTAATTACTCATTGGATCACCTGGGGCAAGTAGGTCCGCATAGAGGCGGTGTTTTCCACTTGGCAAGACCACAAATGGTCACCAGCCCTTACGAGTCTTAAATGCCACGGGCTCAAATTTTTATACTTGATTCATGAATTTGATGGACCGAGCTGCGATGCAGGGAGGAGCAAAGAGATACGTTCAAGGAGGAGGAAGGAAATAACTAAAAATAAGACGCAGTGTGGTCATGTCAATGAATCGTCTCCCATGTCCGCCACATTGGACGGAGGACATCCTCCTTAATTATCCAGCTTTGTCCCAGCACACACTCCACTGATTCTACATTATAATGCGTATGTGGTTTTGCTGCTCGAATTTCTTGCCACAGTTATGCTTGGTCGAATACGACACTTCTGTTAGTATCGATCCCCGCAGCGCTTCGGTAGGCGACAAATATAATAATTTTATATTAAAGCCATATTCGATGTATATTCCCTAGCCCACCCCAACCGAGCAAATCATGCCACTATCGGCTCGGGTATTGATCAGCCTTACAAATAGGGACCACCTTTGTTCCACTTGAAGGCTGCTTTCAGCCACCAGGAGGATATCGTCTATTCAAAAACTAAACACGGTAGTGGATGAACAAAGTATGTCCGGCCAAACGGCCCACCCGCCCGGGCCCCGACCCACTATCAAGAAGGGAAAGGAGAGCAGAACAGAAAGAAAGAAAAAAAAAACCCCCAGAGAGATCAAGATGAACAAGTAAGATGTTTGGTGTGTTTTCTGGTGTACATGGACTTACTTGAAGAATCACATCACGCACTGCACAGTAGATTTACCAGACCGCTAGGCTCTTCACTTGATATAATTATCTACAAAGACCATGGCTGATATATGAAACTTGCTGGTACCACGGCCGCTAGAGCTTATTGCAATTTTTTCAGGGATTGTTCAAAACTCAATATCTTTGTGGACGACGATATTTTCGTTGCCGATCAGTTCAAGGGATTTCCCCCCATCGAACGAGCCAGGTAGGGTCAAAATTGCCTCCCTGACCCCTTGACCACGGAAAAATTCCAGAACTGCCGCCCACGACGAGAACCAAAACTGCTCCATTGCCACGATGGTGGTCCAGTCGGCAGTGTTGAAAGGTGTGCCGGCGAAGAATGATCCCACGTCGTCGGGAGTTACCGTACGATTCAGCACGTATCGTAAAAGAGAGGTTCCAGCACCCTTCTCCTCAAGAGCGAGAGCTCTAGCTCGCAAGTCACGCAAATAATCCTCGCCTTCGCTGTATTGGGCAGATTTGGCCAAGAAGCGCACGAGGAGCACCCCATGTCTTCGATTCTCATATGAGACGGGATCGAAGTTGAGGTCTAAAAATGGCTGGCTGAGAATTCCAATCGTGTCTTCTTCGTCGACGAAAACGTGAGTCCCAGCCGTGGCTTTGTATTGAGGATGCTGGAAAGAGCCCCAGAGGGCGCCCAGGGAGGTCCAACCCAAGGTGGTGCAGCAATCCCACGACGAGTGAATCCCGATTTGAGCCCCCTTCTTTTCTGACTGAGGGAATGCGACCACCTGTGTGTAGTTCCGTAATGCTGGCACAGCCGCCGCAACCTCGTTCGTCATCTTAGCGTGTTTTCCCGTGTACTCATCCATGAACTTCTCATCTGACCAACCCTCGAGTCTTCTGGCAAGCAAGGACATCTTAATGGGCCCCTTTTCTCGGAGATAGGATCTCGGCACATGGGGTAGAACTGGGAGAAGCAGGTGACTGTCATACTGGCCACCGAAATGAACGACGTGCGTACCACTATTGACGGTTTCCGGATGGCGTGCGATTGGTGCCATCTTCGGATATGCATTTTCGCGGTAGTCATGCCCAGAGATAACCAGATGGAGGCGCTCCCCCCGACGGAGCCGGCACGAAGTCGGCTGGATCTCGATTTCCACGGGAACCACCTCTCCTGGCTTGAGCGGCGGTAAATCTCGCTGGTGTGTGTGATAAGGCTGCCACGGCTTTGATTTCTTTTCATCCAACTCGCGTCGGGATACCCGTAGCCAGCCGAATGCAATGGGCCCCGTATCTACGATAGTAAGCCACGGAAAGAATACCTCGTTGCCGTTGGAATCTGTCTTCCGCAATGTTATAAATAGATCCATATTTTCGGCGCCCTTAGCCTCCACCCAGAGCTTTAGTTTGGCATGCCCAACAAATTCAAGAGGTTGGACGATGGGGAGATCCAGGGACAGTTCATCTTCCCTGGCGTCGTACGAGATTGAACTTGCTATCGGCGTAGCGATACGGCTCAGTCCTCTCGAAGCTACGGGGAAAAACTTGGTGTACTGTGTCTCCGGGAGCGGGAACCTGTCGGCAAAGCGCCATTCTCCAACATAGTATCGCTCACGTACCACATACCTGACGGGTGGCCAAAATTGGACCTCGGTCTGCTTACCCATGAGGTAGGTATCCAGGAATGCTTTCTGTCGCAGTAGTGATTCCTCTGTCACAGACCACTCCCATCCGCAACTTTTGGTCAGCCGGTCGCGTTTACTTCCACACTCCAAAGCCCTCGGGCACTCTAAACTTACTTCTGATGCTGGTGAAGCTCGAGGTATTTCACTTTCGAACGTATGCCGTAGTAGCCGTTAATAGTGCCTCTTGTGTGGATACCGTGATCGCCCCAGCTGCATATGATGTAGGCCGGACACTCGATCTTATCCAGCGCCACGACCTTACTTTGCCAGTACTCGTCAAAGTAGGCGTGGTTAGATGGGCCGTCCATAGGATCCTCCACCATTCCACGGCCCCAATTGAAGAAGAATGGATACCTGCGGATAGTCAATCCAACATAGTGAGACAGCTTGTTACCAGTGCCATTGGCACACCAGGATTCCCGTTATTTTCGAAGCTTACAATGTATTGAACTGAATCTCCGGAATGCCACCTTTCCGAGCCATCTCCCGATAAATGTCCGTCATACCATCGATAGGTATAATCGCCTGCATTTGGCCAAATTAGTCACTGGGTGGAAGATGGAGCTCGACGAGCAGGTAGAACTCACTGCCAGGGATGGCGGCTTCTCCGCGGCAGTGAGCCACTGGAGCATCGCGTATCCGCTTGAGCCGTAGAGTGCAACTTTCCCATTTGACCACCCTTGAACAGAGAGCCATTCAACCATGTCGTATCCTGGTTTTTACTTAGTAGATAATCTGTCACAAAAACTTCCAAACATACCATCCATCCCTACGTCTCTGGAGTAGTAGCTTTTGTTGCCATCTGACTGGTACGAACCTCTGCCATCAATACTGGCAACGGCGTAACCCCTAGGACACCACCATCCAGCATCGGCTGCTTCAAACAAGTAGTCCTTGGTCACTCGGGATGGGTCTAGGCCGGCAGCTGCTGGAAATATTGAGATGTCCGTCCCCCCGTCTTTTCCGTACACGGAATAGTTAAATATGACAGGCAACTTCGTTGTGGCCCAGCTCTCGTGCCGCGAAATATTACCGTAAACAAGAACCCCGTCACGCAGGCGGATAGGCACATCAAGTTCTTTGATAAGGCCGCCCTCCGTAATGATCCTTGGCGACGCATCCTTGGCCCCCTGTATCTTAGGATCCCAAGCTGTATATCATGTCAAGTTACCATGGCATTGAACGAAGCGTTTACTGTAAGAAGGAAATAGATCTTACCTCTGATAAACTTGCCCAACCGACGTGTCTCAGACTGCGCAGCCTCGAGTGCAGCAATGCTCGACATGGTCTATTCATTCACGATTTCTAGGTTGATGACCCCCAACAGTCGAGGTGTAGTGCAGTACACTTCGTAGGGCAATGGACGGGGGTTGAGGAAGTACGGATCGCTGTCCTGGGCACAAGGGAATATACAGCGCGTGGGACAAGCCTCACGCCGGGGTCTACAAGCCGAGTGATTGTGCCGAGCGGATTTGACGATTCGTGTCAAACATTACAAATAGCTTGTACCGAAAGATTTGCTCTGATCCATGTTTAAAAGCCCGACCCGCGCGGTATGGCACCGGTGTTACATCGAAACCCAGCTTTCATGGTAACAGCTTTGCTACTGCCGCTTAGTCAAATTCTGGTCGATGTTCCTTCAGCCTGATATGCGTGTCGGTTAGCTTTGTGGTGGCCATTCAGTCTATTTTCCCACATGGTACCACTACTCGAAGTTTGATGAATGATGAGAAGTACTTCTTATCGTTGGAGAATGACGCATGGGGGCGCCATGCCACATCCTGGTAAAGAACTTCAGCTTTAGATGGTTACACATAGTCACCTCCTTTTGGTCTCAGTATCGATGCGGCCACTATTCGGGGGCTGGGGTGGGGGAAAGGGGGAAGAGGGACTTAATACGCCAGGGCATGCCCGTACCGTACCCAACATTATAACACCGTCGCAGTAGCAGTACAGGCAGTGGTATAGACATTTATTTCAATTTGCACATAGAGCTGTCCACGAGACCGAGTGGCTCGCCTATCCCTGGCTACCCAAATATGATACTTGGAAGAAAATTGAACACGCAGGACTATACTTTGTGATAAGTTGTCTATAACTTCATTTGGCGAGAGTCCCTTGTGCGCTCTCCTTTATTTCTAGCAAACCTGGAAGTGCGTTAGATTTCCGAGCAGCATATACCAGGCAGTATGTACCGAGTACAGTCCCGAGGTGGCGTTATTTGTAATGTGTTTCGTCGTGATGTCGCGGGCCCAGCAGGCCCATTATGCGGATTTACCAAGGCCGCTTACTTAAGTGATCGCCTAGGTTGCGGGGGATCCCGCGGGTGTGACGCTTTGGGTGGGCCCCGTGGAATGATGCTCCCAAGGGCACCCTGTCCGTGGCACGTCGGACGGTGGGGGAAGCCCACTAGCGAGCAGGGCAGCAAGTGCATAACAAGAGCCTTCGGCTTTGTTATGTGGGATATCAAGTCGGTTCCTCGTCATTGCGGTAGATATTTATCTCTGTACCCAACGACGAACATTCCCCTGGCCACTCGAGACCATCTCACCCAGGAGCTGATTCTCCTGAGCCACCCTGCCCCTATTCTCACCTAGGGAACACCGAGAGTCCTCGACCCATAATGGCTACTCCATTGAACCTCACGAACAAAATCGTCGTGATTACCGGCGCGGCTCGGGGAATTGGAGAGGCCTCGGCGAAGGAATATTCAAGACAAGGAGCACGAGTCGCCCTCCTAGACATTCGAATGGAGCCCCAACGGGCAATCGTAGCCCAGATCCAAAGTGAAGGGTACTCAGCTTGGGCTTTCAAATGTGATGTCTCCAATGACACGGAAGTGGCAGCCGTCGCGAAGGCGGTGGTTGAACAAGTCGGTGTGCCCGACATTGTGGTCAATAATGCCGTTACGGTACAGACAGGTTCTGCCCAAGACGCCGACATCGAGAGCGTCCGGAGGCAGTGGGACATCAATGTCCTAGGGTACCTGCGTGTTGCCAGGGCTTTCCTGCCAGATATGAAAAAGCGCGGCAGCGGCGTGATTGCAAATACAGCTTCGCCCAACGGCCTTGCTCCCCCGCCAATGGTCGCTGGCAATATGTTGGCATATTGTCTCTCCAAGGCCAGCATCATCTCCCTTAGCCAATGCCTGGCTGTATCACTACAAAACACTGGCGTCAAAGTGTGTGTGCTCATCCCAGACGTGGCTTATACGGAATCGGTTGAAGAGCTTCAAGGAACCGCTTCTCCGGAGTTCACTCAGGGTTTTAGACACTTTATCCGGACGAGTAGTGTACCAGCAGAATCTGCGGCCAAGAGACTTGTAGAAGGCGTAAAGACACAGAAATTCTTCGTCAACGGCTTTTTCAATGGCTACGAGCAGTCCTTGTTGGCTTGGATCAATGGCGGGCTGGACCCAACGGTTGACTGGATAACAGAGACCCAGAAGACGTTGGCCTAGTCCATGTGAAGATCTATAGTATCGTGAGTATAGAGTCAGGAACATAAGGTTCTAGAATTCCCACCTTTTTTAAGCATGACTTCCTTGCAGTCGAGTCTTCATGTCAATTGACCTTGTCAACATCCTAAGCTCGCCTCGTGCAAGGGATCTGTCCGATGAGCGTCTCCCGTTCCGTGTTGCCGTACACACATGACTCTGGCCATGCTTTTGGTTTCAATGTAACAACAACAACGATGCTGTCGAACCCCGCATACGATGAGTAAGCGGAGGAATGAGAACTGTGAGCCACCCTTGCTTGTTTGTGTGCCGGTCGATGGTGCTTTTGAAAAGTGCAACTCCCGTATGACCGATATCTCCTCCAGGTCTGCCCTCGGCTATTATACCCGGTCTTGTCGTCTCTGAGCTTGAGGCCTATTTATTTCAGGAGGGCTCAAAAGTCGGCGGTTTTATCTCAAAAGGCTTCAACCGGTTCACATTGCTAACTTCCCCATCCGGCTCATCGTCACTCCTTGAGGATTCCATGCACATCCTAGCTAGCCATCGTGACAACACAATGGCAGACTTCACAAAAATTGGTTACCTGACACAGGATCATGACAACGAGTGGGACATTATCGTCGTTGGCTCTGGCCACAATGGGCTAACTGCCGCGGCCTACCTGGCCAAAGCAGGCAAGCGTGTGCTGGTACTGGAACGCCAATATTATGCTGGCGGTGGCGTAGCGAGCCTCGAGATGGCTGAGCCAGGGTTCAAAAGCGAGAGACACAGTGCCATCCACAGCCTTATTCAAGGGAACCCTTTGATCCTGAATGACGAGCTTGACCTTTTGTCTCATTTCGGGCTGCAATACCGCGAACTGCACCCAACCTACGCGATCATTTTTGAAAACGGCGCGCTCGTCCTGTACAGGGACAGGGAGAAGACGATGGCGGAGATAAGAAAGATCGCACCAGAAGAGGCCGCAAACTACGATCGGCTGATGTCAGTCTCTGTCGGGATCGTGGATCTCCTAATGCCCAGCATGTACGAACCGCCAGCAGACATGACCGCCGCCATCGCGGCGAGCCCATATGCGGCCGAAATCCAAGCCGCTGCTGCTAGTAGTCCCATGGATATCGTACAAAAATACTTCAAAGACGAAACGATTACAGTGGCTCTACTTCGCTATATCACCGAGATTCAGCTTGCTCACCCGACGACCAAGGGAACGGGGTTGCTAGCCTACGTAGCTCTTGGAGCACTCGAAAAGTTTGGTCAGTGGGTGCCAGAGGGCGGCGGGACAGCTTTTACCAACTCTGTCATCAAGTGCATAGAGGCGCACGGCGGGGAGGTGCGGTTGAACACAGAGGTCACCCGGATCATCACGGAGAACGGCCGGGCTGTCGGGGTTGGCACTCGTCGAGGGCAACTACGTGCCAAAGACGGCGTTGTTGCCCAAATCCACCCCCACAACCTCGGCCATATGGTCAAAGGTCTAGATGCCCAGATCATCTCGGATGCTGAGAAGACAAAGATTAGCGAGTTCACTTTGTTCGTGATCCACGCTGCTTTGGAAAGACCACTCGACTTCAATGCTGGCGGTGCAGCGAACTACACCATCATGAACACCGTCTGTCCGAACAGCCTAGAAGAGCTGATCACAAGTTATGACACGATGGCTCGGGGTGAGCTGCCTGAAAACATCATGATTGGGGCATCAACCATTTCCTTGGGCGACCCTACGCGTGCGCCGGCGGGGAAGGCGTTGCTTCATGCTGTAGTCATGGTGCGCCCCAGGCTCCCTGGCAAGGAGTTCGAGGCCTGGGAAGAAGTCAAGGAAGACTATGTCCAGAGGATCTTCCACTATCTCACCCGCTTTGTAAAGAACCTCACCCCGGAGCTCGTCCGGTCCTACGTGGTCGTAACCCCCGCAGACCACATGAATGACAGTCCTAGTTTTCGCATGGGTGACATATGTGGCATTAGCATGGGGGGCGATCAGTTGGGTTTGAACCGGCCGACGCCTGCTCTTGCTCAGTACCGAGTCCCTGGCCTCGCTGGTCTATACCTCTGTGGTCCCTTTATGCATCCCGGTGGGGGGGTCTGGGGTGGAGGTCGTCCGGTGGCGCGGCGTGTTATGGAGGACTTGGGTCTAGATTTCGATGCTGAGTTTGTGAAGAAGTCTTCTCGACTGTGAGTCCCTTGCAGTCTGAACATGTACCTCTCGCCGTATTGAATGAGATATATTCGCCCCTTAATCCACGATTGATCTATCTCCAGATAGACGGGACAGAAGTGTTGCCTTGCTATGGCCCAAGACGTACAGGTAGGGAAATATTCCATGTGGGCCCCTGATGTGTGTGCAGGGGTTCTGTAACAAGTCTTCCACGGTTGTCCAAAGTCCATAAGGGCGACAACAGGTTTCTTGCTGCAATGGTGGATAATGAGCACCCTTTGGCAGGTCAAATTAAGAATCCGTAAAAGCCAGCCAAGTTCGCGAAATCGCAAACGACATGCAAGGTTTGCAGCTTGAGGGGTTTGGGATAGTATCTTTTGTGTGAGGTTTCTTGTATATTATTACCTTGCAAAGCAATAGACAGGGGTCTGATCTCTTATAGAGGCCCCAGTAAGCGTGATATGAATCAGGTAACTATGCTAAGCCATGTAGGCGGGTTCTCAGGACGCCCAGAGTTCATACTCATTGGATCACAGCTAACCTCCGGAACTGGGAGAGTTTTCGTGTGCATTGTCCGTCACACTGGTGGACGAGCGGGAGCACGGGCATCCATCATTGGGATCGGATTCGCGATGAGGGGTCACGCGAGTCGCGAAGGCCGAGTTCTTGGGCCCTATACCTCTCTGGGTTCCAAGCCAAGCCGGGACCCCGCGTTGGGGGAGCCAGCCCGTAACTGCAATTCCCCGTAGATGCAGATCCCTGGAGATAGCCTGGCGCAGGCTTGTGGGGCCGTGACGGCTCCCTCTGGATCTACTGTGGTACCAACGTCGACGCGGCAGTTATAGTTAGGACCCCTGTCGTCGGAGCGCGGAGGACTGAGAATATTGTGTGTTCCGCTGACTAACAACGGGAGTGCTGCCGAAGACACAGTCAATCCATCATGAAAAACTTCTCCAGCATTCTCCTTTCGCTATCCCGCAAGTCCTGCTTCACAGCCATGGCGACCCCTAAGAAGCTCAAAGTTGCGGTCTTGGGCCCATCAGGCCAATGTGGCCAGAGTGTGGTCAACGAGCTTCTATCTCGCAACCATGATGTTGTCGGACTATCTCGCAACCCACCAAAAACTTGGACCTCAACAACCAACACTGGCTCCTACACAGCCGAATCTGTTGATGTTTTCGATGACTCAAGCCTTGCCCGAGCCTTTTCGAAGGGCTATGATGCTATAGTATGCTCGTACGCACCGCCCCTCGGCGACTTTTCGAAATTGTACCAGCTTGGTGTCGAGGGCCATGCAAAGATCAAGACAGCTCTGCTTGCCTCTGACCACAAGGGGCCTTTCGTGGTAATTGGTATGGCTCGCAGGAAACGCAACACCGCCTTCGGCCTTGTTCTGCCGGTTAAGCTGACCTTGGAATAGGGGGCGCTGGGTCGCTTCACTGCGCCGACAGACGTCAGCTGGTCGACCAGCCGGACTTTGCCTTTGGCTGGTGGTAAGATAGTCACTGGGAGCTGGACAGATATCATTGGGCACTGATGCATTCATAGGTACACCTGGCCAAGCCAACACGTTGAGTATATGCGTGTGCGTGCCTCAGACCATGGCGCGTCTTTCTTCTCGCGGTTCATAGGGGGCTTTGCTTGGGCCAGACAAACCGTGGAGAAGACTGGCTGTAAGAATACCCGGAAGAGGTCAACAATACTACACATGGTTTGCTAATGGTTGCATACGTCGCAGTGCTTTCTACAGTTCTGCGTCCTTTCGCACGGCTGTATTTGCGATGGGCTAAGAAATTCCTAACCAGCAACGAAACCATCTCGCTCATTACACAGTCCAGAATTGCTCTTCGCCTGTGGCAAGGCGTTACGGAAAAGCCGTGGACGTTCTTGTCACCACCAGGCCAACTTCGCGACAAAGGTGCGAGATAACCTGCCATCTACTCAGACGATAAAGTGCCTTAAAGACTGACAACCATGGGAACTGAGCAGGAGTCAGAACCGGACAGTACCGTGTGTACGTCGATACCGCAGAGGACCCTGCAGTGGAAGCCACTGAGCGAGGAATATACAACGAAGATATGGCGGTTGCAATTGTTGACGAGGTTGAAAAGAACCAGCTGAATTGGAAGCACTGGACTTGTACTGGGCCGATTGACTTGGGAAGATGGTAAACAAGTACCTAAGTTACCGAAGTGGGTGAAATACAGAGAGGGAGGGATTTTGTCGCGGCGCCAGAACTGAATGCAAATTATAGTTACAGATTTATAACATTATTAATTTTATAACGGCTTTATAAATACTATTTAATTAAAGCTTTATTATTAACGTTAAAATCAAATTATTATAATAATATTAAATATAAATTTTAAATAAATTAAATTAAATTAATTAAAAACAATATAATAAATTTAATTATTTAAATATATTAAAAAAATTTAAAATTTAATTTTAATTTAAAAAATTATTTAATTTATTTAATTAATTAAATAAAATTTATATTTAAAAATATATGTTCATTAATTTAAAAAATATAATTAATTAATATATTAATCTTATGGTTTTTAACTTAAATAATAAAGATTTAATTTAATTAATTAAGTTTAAAGAATTATAATATTAATAAAGTAAAAAGAAGTAAAAATATTTAATAAAATTATAATATTATTAAAAATTAAAATAATATATTTTATATATTCTTTATTTAATTAATTAATTATATTAACGTTATATTACTTTAAATTTTAATAAATATAAACATTTAAAGTATATAATAATTAAAGTTGTTTTAAAATTAAAATAACCGTTATTTTATATAAATTAAAATATTAATTATTACGAATTTTAAAAAATCTTTTTTTCCGACGTTAATTAATTTTTATTAATTAAATTAAAATAAATATTCAAAATATTCGTTAAAGCTTTTATTAAATTATAAATAAAGGTTTATATTATTTTATTTAAAGGTTTATTATATATTTAATAATATTAGATATAATAAAAAAATATACGGTTAAATTACCGTAAATAAATTTAAAATTATTAATTTTTTTATATATTTATAATACATCCTTTAAAATAATTAATTAAATATAATTAATTAAATTCAAATAAAATAAACAACGTGTTTATAAAAATAAATAATTAAATTTTAAAACGATTTAACATTTAAAATATTAAAAATTTAATTGTTTTTTTAAAAAAATAAAATGTAAAATTTTATTATAAAACTTATCGGTACTTTTTTCGAAAAGATAAATCGAAAAAGTTAATATTAATTATAATAAAAATATTGGTTTTTATTTAATAAATTAATAAATTAATAATTAAATATTTTAATAATTTACTTTTAATTTTTTTGTTTTATTTATTTATTATAATTTTAAATATATAATTTTATAATATTTAAAATAATTTTAAAGACAATATCTTTTAATAAAAATAAAATATTTTTTAATATATTTATTTAAAGTTAATGAATAAATAATAATGAATTATATTATATAATATAATTCTATTTAACGTTTTTTATTATAATATATTAATAATAAAGTACGTTGAAATCAATTTATTTTTAAAAATATAAATATTTTCGTTTTCCTCGGGTTTTAATTTAAAAGACTCTTTAAATTTATTAAAGGTTAAAATATTAAAATTATAAAAGTTTTTTTTTTAAAAATAAAAATAAAATCCGATTATAAATTAAAGTTTAATTTAAAAGATTTTTTCCGTATTTTAAATAAATATAAATAAAAATGAAATATATATAAATCGTAAAAATAAATTAAATAATAATAATATATATTAATTAAAGTAATTAAATATTAAATATTAAATATATAATAAAAAAAGAAATTAATTATAAAAAATCGTAATTTATATAAAATAAATCGGTATAAAATATTATCCGAATGAATTAAAATTAAATTCTTTATTTAAAATTTAAAAATTACGTAATTTAATTTAATTAATTCTTAATTATAAAATAAAAATTAAAAATTTAAAAATTTAAAACCGGATTTAAAATTAAATAAATTAATATAATAAATTTAATTAATTATTTTTAAATACCGTGTATTATTTATATTAATAGTAAAATGAAGGGTAAAAATTAAAATTTACGGTATTTATTTTATAATTAAATTTAAATTTTTTAAATTTATTAAAATTAATGTTTTATAATTTATTATATATTTATTATTACTATTATTATTATTATATTTTTATTTTATAATTTATAAATTTAAAGATTAAAAGTAATTTATTTTATTAACATTTATTTAAAAAAATTATATTAATTAGTTTATTAATAATTTAAGTTTTATAACTTTAAAAATTATCATTTTATTTATATAAATCGTTTAATTTTAAATAATTAATAACTTTTTAATTAATTATATTAAAATAAACTTAATTTATATTTTAAAAATTTAAAAATTAAAAGTAATTTATATTATTAAAATTAATTTAAAAAGAATTATATTAATTAATTTATTAATAATTAAAGGTTTAATAATCTTTTAATTATCTACGTTATAATACGTTTAATTAATGTTTTATAAATTTAAAAATTTAAAGTATTTTATATTATTAAAATTTATTTAAAAAGAGTTATATTAATTAATTAATTAATTAATAAGTAATTAAAGTTTTATAATTTTAAAACTTTATTAATTATTATTATAAATAAATTAATACAAATAGTTATTATATTAATTCATTTTATTTATAAATTATAAACGTTATAATTATAAAAAAACTCTTTTTTCCTTTTTTTAACTTTAAATATTTCGTATATAATACCGTAATAATTATTAAAACTTTATAAATGATTAATTATTAATTTAAATTATTAATTTATAAAGTTTTAATAAACTTTAATAAACTTTAATATTAATAATTAGTATTAATAATTATAATGGTTTTAATTTAATTAATTTATTAAAATATAAATTTATATTTATAATTTATATTTAAACTATCCGAAATTTAAATTAAAATTAAATTAAATTAATTAAGGTTGTGATTAATTAGATTTAATCTATATTTATTTGATTTTGATTTAAATTAATTAAATTTGATTTAATTTTTAAAAATCCTAAATTAAATTTATTAATTTATTATTTAAACTAATTATTTTTTAAAAAATTAAATTAAAATTATTAAATAATAAATCAATTTATAAATAATTTAAATAATTTAATTAAATTAATATAAATTTATATATATTAATTATCAAAGTTTATAAATATAAATATTAAAAAGTTTTATAGATTTATTTATTAAATTTAAATAAATAATAACGTTTTAAAACAATCTTTTTAATTAATTCTTTTTATCGTTATTAAATAACCGATTTTCTTTATTATACCGTTTTTAAATATTTTATATTGATTTTAATTCCCTGATTTTTAATAACGTTAATTATTTCACCGTTTTTAATAAAAGGCTATTCCTCGATTTAATTATAATATAATTAAAAATAAAAAAAGTCCGTTTTAAAAAAACTAAAATGGTAAAGATTTATAAATATCTTTATATTATTATACTTAAAATTAGATATTTTAATCGATTATTTTTTTAATAATTTAATAGTTTTTTTATAAACTTATTAATATATTAATTAATTAATTAACTTACTTTTTAAGAAATAATAAGTTTTATTATATAAAATTTTATTTTATTTTATATTTAAATTAATTTTTGATTTAAAAATAATTCATCGTTAAAATCGGGTTCCGGTAAACTCTTTAAAACTTAGTTTTTATCGTGTGATTCGTTAAAAGATCCCGTAAATAAATCGTTATTTATTTCCAATTTAATTATATTAAGTAATTAATAAATTAAATTAACTTATTTATTAAATTCCCTTCGAAATAATAATTTAACATCGTTATAAATACCTTTATAATATAATAATAAACGATTATTTTTAAAGTGTGAAAATTTAAATCGAGGATTTAAAATTAAACTTAAAAAGAATAATTTATATTCTTAAATATTATCCCATTTTAATTTTAAAGGGAAATAATAGTTTAGTTTTTTAACTCCATTTTTAATTACATTAATTAAAGGAATTAATAATGGATTTTATAATTAAAAATTTAATAAAAATAAAATTATTTATTAAAGTTAGATGGTTTTAAATTTATTTATAATAATTTAACCGTATATATTTTAATTTATTAAATCTTTAAATAAAATGGTACACACCTCTTTTTATAATTTAATAAAGGGTTTAATAAATACTTTAAATATTCGTTTTAATAAGGTTAATAAAAATCAATCAACGTTAGAAAAAAAAGATCTTTTAAAATTCACGGTGGTCGCTATTCTAATTTATATAAAATAACGGTTGTTTTAATTTTAAAACAATTTTAATCATTTTATACGTTAAATTTTAACGAATATAAAAAGTTAATTATTATAACGTTAATATAATTAAATAGTTAAATAATTAAATAATCAAATAATTAAATAATTAAATAATTAAATAATTAAATAATTAAATAATTAAATAATTAAATAATTAAAAATAATATAAAACATACCGTTTAGAATTTTAATAATATTATAATTTTATTATCGTTTTATTAATCCCATTTATTAATAAACTTTTAATTTCGCGAGTATATTTAATTAATATTATAGTTTTTTAAACTCGATTAATTAAATTTAATTTACTTAAAAAATCTTTATTTTAATAATTTAAATTAAATCCGTATAGTTTAAATTAAAAACTATAAGATTAATATATTAATTAATCGTATTCTCTTTTAAATCGGTTAAAATATACTATTTAATAGGGTTGTTAAATTAGTATTAAGTATTTAATATTAAGTTGAGTATTTACTTAACTTATAAATAAGGCTATGAAATGAATAATGATTTTTAAATATAAATTTAAATATAATTAAATTTATAATTTTAATTTACCGTTTTTTATAAATTAATTAATTTGATTTGATTTTAATTTTGACCTCCGATAAATTAAATATAAATTATAAATATTAATTTATATTTAAATAAATCAAAATAAATAAAATGAATAATTGAAATAAGTAAATTAAATGTTTAAAAATATAAATTTAATTTTAAAAATTTAATTATTATTTATTTCTTTTTATTAATTTTTCATTTAATTTAATCCTTTATTCATAAATTATAAAATAAA